CAACTAAACATGCTACAATTCAAGAAAGAACAAATGGCATCCCTTTGACCTTTATTTATTACAGTCCGAGAAGATCTTTCCTGACGAAAAGCCCACATAATGAAACACCTTGTACGTTTGGTTATAAGTATAAGTATACGTTATAAGTTGTACTTTCACGCCGTGCGAAATCTCTCTACTAATGTAAAGTTCAAACGTATAATGTAAGTTAATCATCCACTCAAAATCTAAATTAATGAGTAGAGCAATATTACAGTAGCGACTGAACCTATTTTCAGCGTGGCGTTTTACATAATGTTACACAATATTTCCAAATGTTAATTTCGACTAATAATGTGCTCTGTCATGGAACTAAACTGTTGAATGTTTCTGTAGAAGACATCGTAGTTCAAATATCAGTAGATCATTCGCACATTCGTGTATCTGGAGAGTGCAACTTGTCAAGTGGTCATTATCACGGGGTACCATCGAATAATTTTGGCAACGTACCGGAGAACGACATTTTACTAAGAAATGGCAATAATTTAGCACAATATATTTTTTAACTAGAGTTCTATTTTGATTTTGACAAAAGTAAGTATTCCATGCAATAACTATTTCATTTATGAGTTTGTAGGAATTCTGTTGGAACCCAGTTCTGATCAAGTACGAAGTTATTGAAATCGGCGCAGACGGACTTTACTCCGAAAGATGGTTTTTCGATTATAACTTTTCAAAACATTTAAGTATAGACTTTTGAAAAAAGTACAGAATAGTCCTTACACTTTAGAATAGTTCTGTTATTTCTGATTCACACGACTCTGAATAGTTTAATTAAAAAAAAAGTTTTAAAAATATTACTTAGGAACGTAACCGGAGCTGGGAACGTAACCGGAGCAGATCAGTTGAATTATTTAATCAAAAAAAATTAAAATATATGATTTAAAGCACATATACTAATTTAAAAACATACGGGATTGTTCGAATGCGTATTTATTACATTTTATTTAAAGAAAAAAATGTATCCATTGTGAAAAATTAAATTTGGTATTTACCATGCATAAGTGCACTTACCTTAGAAAGGCTATCAAACATAGAACAATCATTGTATGGAGAATGAAGTGATTAAATGTAGTAAGCAAATAATTCCATTTGATTTCACCCATTGTATTTGTTCAGCGAACTATTAGAACCCACTCTGATAGACTAATTTCGTATTTATATACTGTTTATAAATACATGTATCTCCTTATGTTACTTCCCAGCTTCCCACTGAAGCAATAACTATCAGTGAATTTTTTGATACTCTAAAATATAAGTGCAAAAAATATATCTTTAGAAAATTTATATGTTTTGCCATGCATTGATTTTCCTGTAAGTGAAGGGTAATAAATGCTTATTTTAAAATTCATATGTGTTTGTAAATAATATATATGCTTTAAATCATATATTTTATTTTTTTAAATTATATAATTCAACTGAACTGCTCTGGTTACGTTCCCAGCTCCGGTTACGTTCCTAAGTAATATTTTGAAAACTTTTTTTTTAATTAAATAAATCAGAGTCGTGTGAATCAGAAATAACAGAATTATTCAATAGTATAAGGACTATTCTGTACTTTTTTCAAAAGTCTATACTTAAATGTTGTAAAAAGTTATAATCGAAAAACCATCTTTCGGAGTAAAGTCCGACTGCGCCGATTTCAATAACTTCGTACTTGATCAGAACTGGGTTCCAACAGAATTCCTACAAACTCATGAATGAAATAGCCATTGCATGAAATACTTACTTTTGTCAAAATCAAAGTAGAATTCTAGTTAAAAAATATATTGTGCTAAATTATTGCCATTTCTTAGCAAAATGTCGTTCTCCGGTACGTTGCTAAAATTATTCGATGGTACCCCGTGATTATGTACAGAGCAGATGTATGTAATCGAGGGACCATAAAAGTATGTCATTAAATCATTGAATGAAAATAGTGTAATAACTGAGACCACCGTTACCCAACAATTATAGTGATCAGTCGCCTATTAGTAGCATTAAAGTGACTTTCTTACACGATCAGAGGCCGAAATTGGGGATTTCAGGAAATACTTTTCAAGAAAATAGTCTTACCTTTCTATTAGGATGGCTTCAGGTGCCAAAATTAGCTGATCCATGAATATATATCATTTTGAAAATTGGAAGCAAGAATTTTGTTTTGGAAGCCATGTTTTTTTGACAGTCATGACAGGAAGTAGATTCTCAAAATGAAAACTGGATTAACAGCATTTATTCTGAATTTGGCTTAGAATATTTACTCAGATATGTATTGTAATATTATTACCATGATTATTGACGTGTAGAGGAAAAACATTTTTCTGAAATTAAGAATGAATACTAAAAATGCATCTTAAGATTTAAGCTGGGGCTGTGGCAGAGTGGTTCAAATCCCGGCCGTGGCATATCATGTTTTCTTTTTTTTTCTTTATTTCTGAGCCACAATATTTTCTATCTCATTTTTTATAGCACAGTGTCATATTTATTACTTTTTGGGGTTTTTTAAAATATAGGTAAAATGTCTATGTGTGGCTTTAAGCTATTATTAAAAATGCGTATATGCTTATATCTACGCCTAATGTAAAAGAAAGTGATCATGATATTAAATTTTCCCAATACACATTTCGAACATGTACTAACTTAAGATGGTATTTTGAAATTTGCAAAGTATGGATAATTTATATTTTGAAAACAAAATTCAATATGTTAAAGTTCATCCTCCTATCTCAGCTGCACATCTTCTTTGCTAACTTTATACATCACGGGGCGATGCGCGCCATATGTCTAGTGTAAACCATCGTCCACGAGGCAATAATAGTGAAAATGGCAAAGTCTACCACAATATCAAACGTTTAAAGGCAATTGTATTTTAAGAATTTCGTTTACACACTTTGGAATATAGTATAAATTCATTTTTGTCTATATTTGTGACAACACGTTTTACTTGTTTTATGTTCATTTTCGTAATCGAATCATTTGCCATTCTTCTTTTATTAATTGCGTCGATGCACTTACAGTATATATCATAAACCCTATTCACGTCTACCTTTTCTTTACCCTTTCTCTTTATTAGCAATCTGTATATCACGGCAATAAGATAAAATTGGAATTTATCCGTCGGCCCAGTATTAATTTCTTGCAAATTGTTCGACAAATATTCGAAAGATGTTACATGTTTCTTGCTGGCTTTTGTTAGTCTCATTCTAGTTTTTTCACATTTAAACCATTGTTACAATTTTTTGAAGGGCAAGCACACGATTGTTGACATTTAGCATTTTTTGAAGAACATGGGCATCTTCTACCTACACAGCATAAGATTTCTTTTCCACTTCTTATTCGGTTGACACCACACCTACAACCTTTTTTACTACCTCGATCTTTCTTAGTTACAGAGCGTGCCAAAGAATTTGCGTTTCTTTGAATCAAACTGTCATAATGACCTGCTGAGCCCGCATTACTTAAGGAATTCATGTTTGAGACGGACCCTAATTTCAATTTGAAAATTCGCCAATTTCCCTTGGAGTTTACTTAAATGCCTTGGGTAACGAATGTACAATTGTATACAGATATATACTATATGTCTATTTGAAAAAACATTTTAGAATTTTTTTCACTTTTTAACAAAATCTATTTCACACTTAAGTGGCTTTGAGTGTGAAGTGTATGGGAGATATGTAAATACATGTGAAGTATGTACCCCGATTACCCCGCCAGCCACGGTACGTATAGTAGGATGAAGTGTATGGTAGATGGGTAAATACATGTGAAGTATGTACCCCGTTTACCCCGCCAGCCACGGTACGTATAGTAGGATGAAGTGTATGGGAGATGGGTAAATACATGTGAGAGTATCTACCCCGTTTACCCCACCAACCACGGTACGTAATATAGTAGGATGAAGTGTATAGGAGATATGTAAATACATGTGAAGTATGTACCCCGTTTACCCCGCCAGCCACGGTACGTATAGTAGGATGAAGTGTATAGGAGATATGTAAATACATGTGAAGTATGTACCCCGTTTACCCCGCCAGCCACGGTACGTATAGTAGGATGAAGTGTATAGGAGATATGTAAATACATGTGAAGTATGTACCCCGTTTACCCCGCCAGCCACGGTACGTATAGTAGGATGAAGTGTATAGGAGATATGTAAATACATGTCAGAGTATCTACCCCGTTTACCCCGCCAACCACGGTACTTACATGACTTATAGTAGGATGAAGTGTATAGGAGATATGTAAATACATGTGAAGTATGTACCCCGTTTACCCCGCCAGCCACGATACGTATAGTAGGATGAAGTGTATAGGAGATATGTAATTACATGTCAGAGTATCTACCCCGTTTACCCCCCCAACCACGGTACGTAATATAGTAGGATGAAGTGTATAGGAGATATGTAAATGCATGAGTATGTACCCCCGTTTACCCCACCAATCTGTGCGAAGATGTGAAACAGTGGAATTAGGGCGAATTAGTAAGTACTACGTGCACGTGTAGAGGAGAATACACAGGCAAAACGGATGTGGGCGAGATTCGCGCATGTAAGGGAGTTAGTACTACGTATACGTGCGCACGTGTGGAGGAGATTTCACAGGCATAACTGATGTGGACGAGATTTGTTGAATTTTCGTGACTGCTTGCATCGGTCACGATGTGTATAGGTACCTGACACATGTTGGACATTGAGCTTAGAGACAAATGGTGTGTCATAGTGTTCGTGGAATTACACAAGAGGAAACTACATATGAATTGATGTGGCTTGCATGTGAAATGTAGAAATAAAGTTTGAGTGTATGTAATGAGAATTCCCAAATTTGTAGTGGACACAAGGAGAATTTCCGTGGGTGTCCTAAATGGGAAAATGCTCTAAGTGTCGTGACTGCTTACATAGAACCTCTACCGAAATCCCGTTGAAATTCTCGAACAACGAGAGTAGACGAGATTCAAGATGTCAGCTTCCATGGCAGAAACATCTTTTTGCAGTATTTTCTAGATATCAGGTTTTGCAGTAGCATTTAAATGCATCTGTACTAACTATACCGACAAAACAAATTATTTTTATTCACTAACGCCAATGTCATTGAATATTTTTCTTCGTACATTCCATAATTTGACTTCTAAACGTCAATTTTTGAAAATTCAATGGAAAAAATTAGAAAAAAATTATTTCCCTGTTCAGAAGCGTAATCATCTATCACAATCAATCAATTCAAATTCAGATATGCCTCCATCAGGGAAGGCAAGGACTGTTTTAATAGACTTGAGTGGGACTGTACATGTTGAGAGCACTGCCATTTCAACGGCTCATAGCGCAATTGAGAGGTAAAAAATTATTTGTATTTCAGCAATACATATTGGTCTATTATTTTTTACATGTAGGCCTAGTGTTATTTTTAGTCTTACTTTATCCTAACCAAACCCGTCTGGCCCAGTTATCTACTCTCGAAATCGTAGATCTGGGCCAGACTCGATCCAATGCAAAAAATGGGGTATTTACTCCGGAAAAAACACACTGGTTTTTCAATGTATAATACGTGCTGATAAATGAATAAACATCATAAAAATCACCTACGTGTTTGTTCCTTGTATCAAACTTTGTATTTATATTAGGTTTCCATCGCTGGATGACGGCTAATAAATATGAACGAAACGTCTAAATGCAGCAAAAAGAAAAATTCTTCTGCAATCTGTTCGTGATCTCGTAGAATATCGAGAAGTCTCGGCTGCTTATTTTGTTCAGTACTTCATTCCGTCAGTTCAACAAATTGAAAAATCGTATTTACTGTCCACCATATTTCTTTCCAGTTTAAATACAACACAGACACATCTGTTTTATAAAGTAATCTACGTTTTGATAACAAATTTGCTGAACAAATCGTAATATTTGGAATGTATTGATTCCCGGGAAATGTATTTTCGTTCCATGAAAGTTTAAAAATTATCGCGTCACACTCGTGTTACGTCACATCACGTGACTTTATTCGGTGCGGAGAACTGACGAAATATTGACGAAATGTTGTGCCCATTTCAACATCAATATAACAAACAAAACACCACATTTACGCGTAAGTTATGTTCTCTTTATTTCAAATAAATACTTGGGTTTACATGGTACCCAATGTTTTGGTTGGATGGCTAATAGGGAATGAATGATAAGTGATGATTCATCGACATGTTTTTTCCGGAGTAAATCCCCCCTTTTTAGCATTGGACCTTGTCTGGCCCAGATCTACGACGTCAGGAGTAGATAACTGGGCCAGACGGGTTTGGTTAACTTTATCCTATGTCAGGACTATAGTCCTGAGAACATCCCAAACTTTTGCCTGTATGATTACAACATGAGAGAATAATCCATGCCTCTTACACTGAGTATTTTAGCATTCTTTTTTATGTAGTTGAATCCCCAATCGAATGGGTTCATTGACAGAATGAGGCCATTTCCTTTTTTCATTGAGAAAGATCACATCTCTTTTCAAGATGGCGGTAGGTTTTTAGAAGGGAAACCCCTTATTGACATCCAGGTCTGGTGCTGCAGAGCCCGGATGTACCAATAGATGGAAAAATGACAACAACAACAAGATAAAAGGAATCCTAAAATATTCAAAAATTTATTGAGGTAGGTATTTTAAGTGTGAGAGGTGTGGCTTATTCTCCCATGTTGTTATCATACAAGCAAAAGATTGGGATGTTTTCAGGACTATAGTCCTAGCAGGGGATAACTCCATTGACATTATCATAAATCAATAAGACTTTTCAGCATATAAGCATCAACTTTTCTTCAGCCATAGACATCAGCTGAATCCCATTGTTCAATCAAAGTTCATGATTGGTTTAAAGCATACTGTTATATATTTTCAGGCTCCGTGATACAAGTTTGAACATACGATTTGTAACAAATAGTTCTAAGGAATCAAAGTTATCACTTTATAAAAGACTGAAGAACATGGGCTTTGATATCAAAATGGATGAGATCTTCACTTCACTGACAGCTGCTAGACAGTTGGTAGAAACCAGAAAACTGAGACCTATGTTAATTCTAACTGAAGAGGCTATGGATGATTTCAAAGGTTTGTTATTCCATTATTAATCTATTAAGATTTTAAATGCTTTTTATGTTTATGTTTAATGTTTATTTATATACATTACATGAGTGGGTGAAGCTTTAAAAAGTGTATATTCAATTCCTGACAAATGGTTTACAATAACAGATGTGTGTTGTCATACCTGTTAGAATGTCAGTGGTGGATGGGGGGGGGGGGGGGTGGCGTTTAGTAGGCCAAGAAAAGATTTTTAATTTGCACCCCCCCCCCCTTTGTCAAGGCTTTTAGTCTAGGTGGCTCTACTTTTGTGAGCCTATCACTCCTAATTCTTTGCTAGAGTCATGTCATTCGATTCATAAAATATTGATTTTGTGGGTTGTTATATCCTGTGAGATTTAGTTTAGTAAAAAGACACTTTAATTGATTGTTGTATCAAAGGAATACATTCTCTATTAAACATGCAGTGGATGGAAATTGAATTGAACATGACAACTGAATCTGACATTGCCATTGTCATGGTGTTCTGGTGTTATTTTCTCATATTCTATAACTTCCAAAATAAAACACTATCTTCCATGTTATTATAATTATATGTTTGAATGATTAATGTCAAAAGTGGACCTGATTACCCTGTATATTGTTCTGTGTTGTTGAACTCACAAAATATGACCATGAGTACCATGCATAATATTGTATGTTCAAAGAATTTGAAAATGAACCCTGGTTACCCTGTTTCTTTGTTTTGCGTTAGATAGGAATTCCAAATGAGGACCCAAATGCTGTATTAGTGGGACTAACACCTGATAAGTTCAACTACGAGCATCTTAACACTGCCTTCCGTGTCTTGCTTGACAAACCAGATATTCCATTGATTGCTATCAACAAAGCCAGATATATCAAGCAATTGTCGGGACTGTCTTTAGCTACAGGTTTGATACGATTTTAAAAGTTAACCTTGCATTAAGCTGCTCTTGTGACCCCCACCCTCTACACATCTCTCCTGCACAAGGTGAAGTAGATGAAGAAATGGGGGTCTCATCTCTTGAGATAAGACTATGGCTAAACATATGAACAAGATTTTCCAAAATCTTCTTTATTTCATGGCAGAAACAACAAATCAGTCATTTGCTTTGTCATGAAGTTTGCAGTCAAAATAAGGAAAATCTATCTATTCTAGAAGTTTGGAACTGTAAGCCCCATGAAATGAGGGATAAAGCAAATTTGATCAGAGTTCAATTCTCCATTTTATGAATTAATGTTGCAGTTTTAGTCATTTATTAACAATTGGGCAAATGTTTTTGGAAATTTTCCTCAAAAGAGGTTTGAAGGCCAAAAGGCCTGAAACAAAATCAGATGGATCATTTTGGCCAACAAGTGGAACTAACAGTTGATCATTTCACTTCAAGCATGGATTTAGTATTTGAAAATTATTGTAGGTCCCTTCGTGACAGCCCTAGAATATGCAGTCGATAGAAAGGCTGAATTGGTTGGAAAACCAAACTCTGCTTTTTTCCTGGAGAGTATTAAAGACTTTGGTTGTGAGGCTAGCAGTACTGTAATGATTGGAGATGTAAGTATAATTTATATACATGTGTACAATGCTGTAGCCAGGAAGAAAAACGTGACGTCGGAAAAAATTATAGGAAAAAAGGATGGCATAAGAACAGATCTACTCTTATGCCCGGCATAAGAATTGAACCTAATTTGCCCAAACCTCATGTTTGCTGAAGTCCGAGTATTTGTAGGATTCCGAGTTCAAATGTCAGGGTGTTTGAGGCAAAAAATATCCAAAATGGCTTAGTCAGAAACATGCACGTAAATTATTCATTGGAAATATCAAGGTAAAGTTCTCATAAAATACAAACATAGATAGATGATGGCAATAGGAGTACACAATGATATAACCCTTACATGATGAGATTATACACAAATTGAATCAAAATTCGATGACTTTAAAATCGATAAAAGTTACATAATTAATTTAAAGGCAGAATCAGATCTATAGGGGTGAAAATATTGCAAACAATATGTACAACTGACCTATCAATCTATTCATTACAATCTCAAATACAATATCTCCCAAAAGATTCATGATATGTTATAATGTTATAATGGATTAAAAGTGCAAAAATGGGTCAAAAATGTTTAAATTCTCCCAAATAATAAGAGAATGGTAACCATTCTTATAGAAAAATAATACATTAGCCTATTGTAAAAATCTTTAGTTATCCTGAAATAAAGTGTGCACTTTGGGGAATTTTAGAAAATAGACATGTGAAGGAATGACATGAGCCAGAAATATTCCAAAATTGAAAGACTTTTTTGTTGGCCTGCTCGCTAGATCTGATTGTCTCTTTAATTACAATTTAATTGATAGAGAAACATTTCTCCAAAGAAGTTAAAAAGAGTTGAGGCAAGTGCCTTGTCTGGCTCATTCTGGTGTTTATATTTATAAGAAATTATATATGTAATGTATCCATACAATAGTTAATACATATACAATCATCCAACAATGATGATATATGTACTTGTTCAATGTACAGTATCCTGTATATTTGTTAGAATATATTTAAAAATAGATTTTTAATCAAAAAATTCTGAGATCATATTGACCCTAAATGCATATATTTTCAGGATGTGAGAGATGATGTGGAAGGAGCCATGAAAATCGGCATGTTTGGAATCTTAGTTAAAACAGGTACAGTGATTAGAGGGTGTAGCACTCTTTGAAATAGCCTTGCTTCAAGACCCTGCAGCCCCTTGTCTTTTTGAAGTAGGGTCTTGGAGCAAGACTATATCAAAGAGTGATTTTTGATATTATTATGCCAGAAATATTGATGTCACATCAGATGTCACATTGTGAAATACAATTCCCATAATGTAAAATTTGAGCTCTCGTTTCCATTCAAAGTTTTTCACAGCTAAAAATTGTACACATTTACAAATTGTCCGCATTCTGGACAAATCTCAGTCATATTCAAATAAATAGTACTTGTTTCTTTCTCCCAATCATCATTTCGCAATAAATTCTATCAGTATACATGAACAAGTACTGTTGTAAAAATTCATATACAAAAACCAATTGGATAAAATTATTAATCCACAGTTGTAGTGACATGAACTTCGAGAAATTCAAAATGAAGAAACAAGGTAATGATGCAAGACTATTTATTTCTGACACCCTGTATCATGTATGTCGTTTACTTCAGGAAAATACCGCGATGGAGATGAAACCAAGATCAAACCAGGTCCCGATGCTATATGTTCCGACATCGGTGACGCTGTGGAATACATAATAACTAATCTCACTTGATCCTGCTTGATCCTTGATCCTGCTTGTGTGGAACCCTGTGCAATATGAAGAAAATGTAATAAACATAATTGGACATTACATCGCATGTTCGGGCATTTATATTGTGATGCCTGCAGCATACCAATATGACCTGAATTTTCAGCATGGCACAAAAGCATGGACTCGAAAGTCTGTGGTAAAAGGAATTTGAGAAAGAGACATGCAACTGCTTGGGTGTGTTTGCTGCTCGGTGTCCGCTGTTTGGTGTCTGTTGCTCGAGGTCTGTGTGTTGCTGTAACAACTGCTGCTTTGATATTATACAAATAAACTTAATCTACAAGTCGTGCATGTCCCGTTACAGCAACCAAACATACTAGTCCAAGTTCCATCATGGCTGCTTTGATTTAGCTCGAAACATTAATTTTTGTTGAGGCAATTTAATGAAAGTATTTCACTAAATAGAAATAAAACAAGCAAAATGTAGGCTAAGGAGTACCAATGGTCAGTGTGTGAATACAGGGTGGGAATTTAAGGTACGTGGAGTACAATGATTATTAAGACTACTTGACATGGACACTATGGTTCATAAAGGGTTATGGAAGCCCATCTTAAATACATGTACAGTACATGATTTATTTATCTTATTTTATGCGATATTACATGTATAAGGATGTTTCTATGCCAACATACATTTCTTCAGCATTCCTTAAAGGTAGAGTCAGAGATATATGGGATGATAAAATTGCAGGCATCATGTGCAATAGACTAGAAGCAGGAAGCAGTCTTGATTTTTGTCATGAAATGTGAAAATCAAAGTGAAACTGTATCTGAAACAATACAATATTACCTTTAAAATAGAGACAAAATATTGGAAAGGTTGTTCACTAGATCTGATTCTGCCTTTAAAGGCCCTTATGCACTGTTGACTACCCAGTGTAAATGTTCAGTTAAAAAAAACGTTCATGAAATCAATGGAATTGTGAACACAATAAAACTAAGAAAAAAACTGATAACTTTTTCGTTATATGGCCTTCATTTTTTGTAGTGGGTGGTCAGTATTTGGAACAAATTGTTACACTTTTGTAACCCATGTAACCAGGTGGTTATTTCAAGTTTAAATATACATGTACTTGACGTTTATTTCTCACCTCATTAGAGAAATACAATACTAGTTAACCAACTTAGCTAGTTATGATTGTAAAATCTATATGAGAAATAAACTATAAGCAGAAAAAGTATGGAATGCAATGTCCAAGAATACCTTTCTTAATTTACCAGCAGGAGCACATTCTAAATATTCATTTGATTAAAAATAAGAGCAATAGATTATTATAATAAGAGTAACTAACAAGAACATGGGAACCAGTACAACATGTAAGCACTAGGAATTTAAAACTGCCAAAAGAGAAGACTGCATTATTTATTTAAAAGCATCATAAATGGATACAAATAAACAAAAAATGGGAATGTGTCTTCTTTCACTTTCTATTCAGAACTCTTCAAATTAGAGGGATTTTAAAAATGGCTGCCAAAAAGCTGTCTGCAAAATAAATTGCTCTGCATTTATGCAAAAATTTACCAATTGTGTAAGTATAAATGTTTCGCTGCTTTGTGTTTTGTATACTTGAGTTGTCTTCATATTATAAATTGACCAAAAATAGATGTTTAACATTCATTGATCCTGATTTTGATGACTGAATATAAAATTCAAATCTATCACAATTCACATGAATCTGAATCTGTCACTCAGTCAGTGTCAGAATTTCTGAATCTGAATTTTTTTAAACATGTAAATAATGTAAATTGCAGTTTGAATAGACTGCAAAATTATCCCATGTTACAGGAGTCTAGATATCACAAATATTCTTCTTCAATATTCTTGCAAACCATTGAGTGTCTGTTTATGATGCAAGTCTTTTGAAACTTTGAAGCAACCTACAAGGGCATAATCTCATAGGCCAAGCCTCTATCAGATCTGTCATCCTCTTAACAAGGATGATCATATTACCTTCTCCATAAGACTAAGATGAATGGGATGCATACAGTAGATCTATTATGGGATATTTGCTAAATGCATTTATCTACTTTTAATCTAACCAAACCAGTCTGACCCAGTTATCTACTCCTGACATCGTCAGTGTCAGAATCGCGGAGTAAATAACTGGGCCAGACGAGTCTGGTTACTTTTAATCTAGTGGTTTATTCAATGTCCACTATGGCTTTATGGCTTACTCATACTCAGACGGGTCTCTAGCCAATTTCTATATACATTGACCATAGAATATGGCGAGGAATGGCCTTCTCATATCAGCTTGCCTGTAGCTCTAACCCAAATGAGAAGGTGTTAGATATTTTAAATTGGACAAAGTTACCAGATAGAAGAAAATCTCATTTATGTACTTTTCTTTTCAAAAGCAGACATAATTTAATAGCACCATATGTAAGTCAAGTTTTCAATGGTTGCAGAAATATTCCAACTCGAACTCTAAGAGCTTTCAGAGAATACAATATTCCTTTAGATATAAGTAAAAGGTTTGAGAAATCTACTTTCTATGCAGCAATTGAAACTTGGAATACTTTACCTGATGATATAAGAAATTGTGAGCGAATTTCAATTTTTAAACGTAGGATCAAGGCACATTTTGAAAATTTCAATGGTACTAATTTCATAACTTATAGTAATGTTAAAAGAAAAAATGAAGTCTCATTTAACTAGATAATGGCAACTCCGCGGAGTAGCAAATCCCAACGAACAAAATATCAATTACCGAATTCCAATCAATTATACTCATTACTTTGGTTAAAATTGAAAAATTTAGATTTTAGAATTGCGAATTCCTGCAAAGCAGCCATTTTGAATTTTCTGAGGTACAAATCTGAAGAATAATACCATAATTGTGATCTACTCCAAAATTCCTTCAATTTGAGTATAATATAGCCATACTTTGAAGGAATCGAAAAATTATTGCGAAATCGTACATTAGACAGCCATTTTGAATTTTACGAGGCTCGAATCAGAAAAAAGATACAATATTTGCAATCTACTCTTAATTGCCTTTCATTTGAGTATAATAAAGCTATACTTCAGAAAGATCTAAAAATTAGCGAAAATTACTGTTTTCCTGACCCCCCATACACAGCCCCTGGGGGTCAGGATGAAAAACACTGAATATATGTGAAATAAATAGATGTTGCAAATATACTACCAAAATTTCAAACAATAATATTAATTACTTTGGTTTAGAATGAAAAATTTATGATTTTTGTGAAAAAGTCCCGTCATTTTTAAAGCGGCGGCCATCTTGAAAAAATTTTTTTTTGCGTACAACTATTCACCAATATACATCTTTCCACTAAATATGAAGAAAATCCGTCAACTCGTATTTGAATTATCATCGGACGGACGGACGGACTGACTGACTGACTGACGGACGGACGGACGGAGGGCTTCACTATATCCCTACCGAACTTCGTTCGTTGGGATAATTAATAGACTCAGAGTAGATCTTTATTTGAAAAGCCAGCTTTTTGCACATAATTTTAACAATGTACCTTCACCAGAATGTGCCTGTGGTCATCGCTCTGAAACACCAAAACACTTTTTTCTACAGTGCCCTCTATACATGAACCCAAGATGTCAACTCCTTAGAGATCTCCATATGGCGGATTGCTTAAGTGCATTTTTAGATTGTAATTCTTCTGATAAAATAGACATGCTTTTATTTGGTCACCCTGATTTTGATCATAATACTAATATTTTAATAATCAAAGCAAGTTTGTCATTTTTGCAATCCACCAAAGACCTACTAGACCCGTAACCAAACTCTACACATTAAGCACACAACTTGACCATTTTAAATAAAATAATGAATCTTTCTTTCTAAAGTAAAAATTATGAATGTAACTACATTAAGGTTTTCAGTTTGACAATAATGTTACTTGTAACCTAGTCAAACGTTATTATTGTATTATTGTATGTATAGTTACTATAGTATGAAATAAATGATTATAAAAAACCAAAACCAAATGATCAATGAAATATTCAAGAAATTAAATAGCTCGTAGTACTATATAGTATTAAAAATGTGAGTCTAGTATTACAAAAGGTGGGCTGGGTAAAATTGTAATTAATTTTTTTTTTCATATTTTATTGAATTGTAAGACTGACCACCATAAATAAATAAATAAACTAAAAAACAAAACTAAACTAAACGTACTAACTAATAAACTAAAAAAACAAAAATATTAGCCCATGTAAAAATGTTCAGATTTCCTGCATTCTCTTGACACATCTCATTGATTTTCATTCAGTATATTAGTAAGACACAAGAGTACGGCACAAACGTTCAAACAAAAACTATCAAGACTTTGCAATACATCAGACATGATTGAAAATCCAGTTTAAGAAAGATCCATACTTGAAAATAGATACATGTATATCTAATCATTTTCTCAGTCGGTATGCTCTTTATCTTTATCAGTTTTTCAAAATTTCATCATACCAACATCCAAAAATTAAATCCCTGTATAATTAATAGTTTGAGTACAAAAAAGATAAAATACAAGTAGGCCTATCAGTGAATGGTCATATAGCACATGTATTTTAATTCTCTAGAAGTGAATTGATGTTTACAAGGCTAATGATGCCTAATTGGAACTATCTGATAACTGCTACTAAACAGTCACCATGGTAACCACCAAGCAGTCTCCAGGCATATTGGATTGATGTGTTATTGATCTCAAGTAGTTTATTCTCACTCTTCTGTTTACCATTGATTCTTGCTGATGGACTTCAGGCTAATCATACATTCGTAGTGTTGAAGAAAGAATCAACTGCGAGGAAATCTACAAGGTTTTGGCTGAGTGCTAGTCTACTCTAGTCAAGGATAGATATTCTGAGTTTTTTATGGAATAACAATTTAGTAGGTGAATGCATATCTGGCAAGTTCACAGGATAATCTATAAATTAATTGCACCTTTGTCAGTAGATATATTCATATACCATAACCTAGAAGTATAATACAAATATATGGAACCATAAAGGGAAGGATAAAACATTTTAAAATATTGTTACAATGCCATGGAATAGAACTTTGGAAGGCTAGAAGTAATGTATGATATTTCATATTTCACATGTAAATATAGTGATTTTCTTGTTTCACTATAAGTTTTATTGGTAGGTGATAATTAGGCTATTTTGTTATACAGTGGGCCAAGTCAGAAATTAATTTTAAGTACATTATATAGCATTTTGTTCTTCCCCGAAAGGCCTGCTTTGTTAACATTTACTAGTGTCTTCAGGCTCGTGGCCAGGATTTGCGAAGGGGGGGGGGGGGGGGGGGGGGGGGTCACTTTTTGAAATATTCCAGGGGGGGTCACTTGTGTCAATTTTGGTCCAAAAATAGAAATGGCCAAAAACACTTAAAAAGTGCTCAGAATGGTGAAAAACTGCATGATTTTGAAAGATTTTTTGGCCAGGGGGGATGTTCGCTCGAACCCATCGAACCTCCCCCCTGGCTATGGGCCTGGTATTTATGTTTATTATTTACAGCAAGACCAGACTCTCTAACATCCAAATCAACCTAAACTACCACCAAAGCACAAGACAGAATGGCAGATCCACAGTGGCAATTTATCGGGGAAGAAGACACACTCTCCAAGAAAAGATGTCAGCGATTGTTTGCAGAATCGGGGAAAGATGATGATATAGCACTGTTCTATACAGAGGGGAAGTTCTATGCACTGGAGGCATGGTGCCAACATCAAGGTATTGCTACCCTAAAGCCCAGAAGCTAAACTCCCCCTCTGTTCCAATTAACTATTAATAATATTTCTATAAAGGTACAAAAAGAAGGCTTTAATCACTTACAAAATTGCATATTGATTCCCCTTGCATGAACAAAAGTAACAACTCTAAGAATTTCATACAAACAGTTGTTCAATGTCAGAAATTCCTATAAAACAGAGCTAAGCAAATAACCAAATCTTTTACACTGTACAAAAGGCTAATATCATAGCTAGCGTATGTCACTTATTGTTCAGTGTTCTCACAATGTAACAACAATTATAAGTCAGCAATATGTTATAATTACTATTGAGCAATATGATATGATTGACAAACAATAAATAATTCAAAGAGCATAAATGTAGACTAATTACAGGCTTTGTATCCAAAAATCAATCAATCAATTACAGTGTTCTCATTCATTACCAACTATGTGCTAATTTGCAGTATCTGTCCTCAAATTACTGTTAATGTAATAAAGTTAAACAAGGCATTAACATGCAAAATGTTACCACCTGCCATTTGTTACAGATGCTGATCACTGAACACAGTCCACAAAACCGTTGGAGACTATAACAATACAGGGGAAGAAAATTTTGGGCCCTAAAACCAAATAGTGGGGCCAAAATTTGAAATTTTGAGGCCCATTTTCTTCAAAATTTGGCCTAGAATTAAAAAATAAGGCATTAGAAGGCCCATTTATGACCAATAAGGCCCACTTTTTGGGCCCAATTTCTTTTTCTGGGCCTGGGCCCCTGCCCCCCCCCCAGATCCGCCAGTGCAATATGTCACAATTTCTGGTGGTGACATAATTATGAGGATATACAGTATACAATGTCCCTAGCGTAGCTATATATGTTCAAATTGGATGCAGAGAAAGAAACATTTCTGGACACCCTGTACATCACATATTTCTATAATTCCAGGTGGACCATTATTCAGTGGTGATATAGAGGATCTAAAGGGTACAAGTATCAAGGCTGTGCAGTGCCCCTGGCATGGATACAAGTTTAAGCTGGAAGATGGGGAAAATACAAACATTCCTGGACTTAATGTGAGTTCAGTGTTTCAGTTTTTGAGACACCCCCCCCTGGATCCGCCAGTGAATAGTATACTTGTAATTAGATCAAAGTTGATATGAATTATAATTTATCAATGTACAAGTACATCAATTTTTTAGAAATTCACTGTATGTTTGTTTACAGGTTTCATTTGATTTGGTAAACAAACACTTTTTAATTGTAAAATTCTTGAATATAAAATTTTGAACGAGGCTCATTTATCTGCTTATGAACAGAAAGCATCACAGGGAATAATCTTAAGATATTTCATGTCATGTGATGCATGCTCAACCAATCACAAAATGAGAATCATGAGAGTGAAATAATAATTGAATTTTTCTATGTACATGTACTAGTATACATTAAATACAACTACTGAATTAACTTTAAATATATTTTTGTAAAATTTTCCAGCAAAAGAAGTATGACGTAAAATGTGAGGAAGGAAAGGTCTATGTGGACTGTACACACAAACTCTCTACACAGGAAGTTAGATCTTGATGGACAGCATGAAACTTGTATCCAGTATTTCAGGGAGGTTCCTAGGATCCAAAAATAGGCAAGACGAATTCTTAAGGTACTAAGTGCATGGCAAAGATGAAGTTAAAGTGGACATGACTGGGAAGTGTGGAACGTAATTTTAATTGCCCCTAGGATAAACATTTTTCTGTAAAATCTTGGCAAGCTGTACCCATTTAATTGTGTTTGTTTTACAGACCAGATAAACTTACCTGAAGAGTTTGAAAAGTGATGAAATATATTGAAACTGATCATCATTTTAAAATTTAAAAAACAGGGAAAACTTTACAGAATAATTTAAATGTCTGGCCTTGAGATAGTGGTGTTAAAGTTGAGGTTTTATAAAAAATAGTAAACAGTTTTATATGTTGTCCAAGAATTAAGGACCTAACTATCATGACTATAGTCGATCAAGATAGATTTAGATGAAGATTTTATAAGATTTTGTGTACGTATGTAAACTATTAAAGGCATTCTGTAAACTTTATTTTTGAAGAGATGGCAACAGGTGTTTTTTGAAAAAGAAAAGGAGAAAATCACCTGTCATGCCTGTTGCTTGCTACGAATGAAACACCTAATTAACATTTTATTTTTATTTTATGATTTGGTAGTCTTGCATAAAGGCCCTGTGTAATATACTGTATAACAGGAATTTTTTTGCTAAATTCTCTTATGCATAATTGCAAAATACACCTAGCCAAAACTGACTTTTTGTTGTGTAAATTTTCACTTGATCAGAATTCATCTTGGCCACTTATCTATAGCAGTTAAAGGGGCAATCACTATTTTAGTGCTTTGGATAGAATAATATATTGATTAAATTTGACCATAGGTAAAAACGACTGAAACTTTCCTTAACTCTAGATTGACCAACATTGAGCCTTATGATCAGGCCTAAGAGAAAAAATTCTTATTTTACAGTTAGTTCAACTATATGTACTGTCGTATCAATCGCATGTCATCAATCTAGTTAATCACATGTCATCATCCTAGTTACAACATTTTATTGAAAATCAAATCAAATTAATATTTTGAAATTATATGTACATTTATTCACTGTTCTGTGTTCAGTTGTAATGTACAGTATTACAATAAAAATATATATACGAATATATATTGTACAAATAAAAATAAAATTAATGTTATGTCATTTATAAAAGAAAACATTGCCTACATTATGCATACACTTAGGTCTTAGAATGATTATGACAAAAAGATGGCATTCAAAATCTTAAAATCATTTCTATAGAATTCTGTTAATTAATTGGCAATTTAAGAACAAACACAAAATCTAAGTGTAAACCATGCTCCTCCAAAAGTTTGGCAACGCTAACTTCTTTATAACAGACTGTTTACGTTTGGAGTTTTAAAAATATTTAAATTTTCATTATTCTTTGACACAATGTACTGGAGGAAAAATTAATCTTATCAGGCTATAGAGTCCAGGAGAGACAGTGTTTCCAAACTTTTTTTGGGGGTGTACATCAATGATAATCTATTATACTGGGTTCATAGCTGAAGGACCAATACTTATTACAAATAACATATCGTATATATTCTATGCTGTACATACTAGCTGCTAAATGTTTGAAAATAAACTTGAACACAAAAAATCTAAGCATAGTTTTACCGTAAAAACAGTACACTGAGATCAAAAATTAATTATAGACTGGACAGTTTATCAAAAACTATTATATATACATACATGGTATACTTATTCGTACAAAAATTACAAAGAGACTATGACTACATATGTATTTACATTTCATAAATACAAACTATTTACAACCTGCATTTTTTAAGATGCAAGTAATGCATGGAATATTGTACAGAATGTAGAGTATTTTAGTGCAATGAGGGATCGCAGTGTGAAATTTAGACGATACTAAGAATTTCATATCTTTTTACATCAAGTCTCTGGGGAAAATTTGTGTGAAGAGTCTCTTTCAGTGAATTTAAGTCTGTATTGTGCATCAAGCTAGCACCAACAACATGACATTAAAATGCAGTGGAAAGAAAAACACCAGAAACACAATATTAGAAAATATATCAAAAATTATAAATTGAGAGGATTATTGCATGAACTTATTGAACAACCTGCTGGTATGTCTGTCTTGTATTATCCATATGGTTACAACCCCAATCGGCACTCTAAAATCACAATACTGTACAGAACATTTAAGAGTATGGCACCGTTTGCATATGGCGATGTACACTGTTCACAGTACCCTACAGTACCATTTTAGTCCCCAGTACCATATGGTACCATATTTCACAGTACCGTACAGTACCATAACCAAAATGGTACCGTACAGTACCATAACCAAAACCGTACCGTATGGTACTGTTGCAGATTGGCCGCATACCCGATGTAGAGGAACAAACTCAAGAACACATTCCAAATGAAAACAAAACATTTATAAAGTACAGCAAAACCTGTCTGAAGGAACACCTCTCTGTAAGGACCAAATCACTGCATTGATAAACTTTCTAAAGAACCAAGTCCCATTAACTTGCATGTTAATGAAGACTCTCTGAAAGGAACACTTCGACTTGTCTTGAGGAACAATTTTCACCATTACTTACTAAGGAGAGAGTTCCATATATACAGATTTTATTTACTGTAATATCCAGTTTTCTTGAAATTTCTGTTTCATGTAGTATGCTCCGGATTGTTGTATTGTCACATAAAGGCAGACTGACTGCCTTAGATTGTTTGACTCATCTGTTGTATTTTTGTATCCATAGTTAATGTTAATTAAAATGCTGCTTAAGTATCGCCCAGTATTTCACAATCCACATGTCATGACAGGAGTTTTTCCTTATGTGTCACCCGTCATTATAGAAATGAATTCATCTCCATTGACTAAAACATGAAAAGATAAATTATTTAGCCATAGATTTAAACAAAGCATTAACATGCAAAATGTCACCACCTGCCATTTGTTACAGATGTCGAACACCAACTGCCGCCACAAAGAAATTGGAAACTATAACCACTTCTTGTGGTGTTGATGTGAAAAATCATTTTCCTTATTTGAAATTTGTTTGGGGACTTTGGGATATTTCTCGGTTTTTCTTGAACATAGAGCTGGTTTTGATTACAGGTTTTATTGATTGTTATGTTTTGGGGTTTTATGTATGTTAGCTTTAGGCCTATTTCAGGGAGCAATCAGGCTCCATTGACAAACTTTGTTATTGGAACTTTATTAGTCATACCAGTTTCATCATACACACCGAAGAAAACATGGTACAATCCACATACTGTTCTCACAGCATTTTTTGAAAGTGATTTAATTTTGTGCTTTTAAACTTGTGAAATCCGTGAAATTTAATAGCCGTGAAATGGTGATTTCTCAAAATTCGCAGAATTAAAACTCTCAAAACTAACCGTGTGTACTGTATGTAAATGAATGGAAGATCTCTTCAATATGAAGCATGTATATACAAGGGCCGATCAAAAAGTTTCTCAATTTTACAATAAGAAGAGTTGGAAGCTCAAACTTTTATATTAGACAGGTTAGTTAGTTTGCTTAAAGCTGTACGAGTTTCATATAAATTGGTTTATTGGTAGTGACACAGAGTATATCTTGAGGCATTTGAGGGCCATACATAGGAGTGATATGAATAACTTATTCTGTACTCACTTTCTCCATCGCCATCTCTATCAAACTCATCAATCATTGCCCGCAGCTCTTCATCAGTCATATTCTCACCAAGGTCCCTGTAATCACAAGCAGGAATTACTAGATATAGTAGTCATTTTATAGTAATATAATATTGATAATATATAATAAATTCTGAAAGCAACGGCTTCATCTGAACTATCACAATATTGCAGGGAATTAAAATTTCATGACATATTAGACGCAACATTCAAGTGCAAAGGTGGAAGTTCCAATTGGAAATTCTAACAACACCAGTTTTTGTTAACAAATGACTGTCTTAAGGGGTCAAGGTGAGTGACAAATATGAGATTTGGTGAGATTGTTGACTGGAAAAATCAAGGTTTCAATGAAATTCCATGCAACAAATTCTGCAAAAGATTTGAAATTCAAAATTCTGCAGTTTTTCTGCATTGAAGTAGAATCACGGAATTCTAGTATGTGTGAATAATTTGGCCAATTGTTTTCATTTTGTTGTGTGTGTGTTGTAAGAAATTCTTATGAAACTCTTGGGGTTTTATATTACCTTGCTACTCTTCTGAGATTCCTTAGGCTGATTTTTCCAGTTTCATCATCATCGAACAACTTAAAAGCTTTAGCTACTTCCTCTTGTGGGTCTCTCTCCAGCATCATGTCGGTCACTGAAATTTAACATTGGCAAATATACAAGTTTTTGAGCTACTCTGCAAAATCCTAGCAACCATTGCCATAGTGAGCATTTTCTCCAGGGTACATGTGTACTAAGTTTTTGTTGCAATTGAAACACTTTTGGTGGTGACATAAAAATGTTGCCTAAATTGCTGCCTAAAAGGGGTATACTTTAAATAAATGGGAAATGATGTAAAATAGAGATAGGATGAAAGAATATGAATAAAATATGTGATCGCAAATATTGATAGCAATTAGCAAAGAAACAGAGACCAGTCTTAAAAAAAAATATACTTACTGACTTCATTGAAATCCTCAAAGCTTATTTTCCCAGTTCCCTCACGATCATAATCACGTAGTACTTTGAGAACATCAGCTTTTTTCACCTCGAACCCTAATGCTCTCATGGCGACCTTCAGCTCATGATAGTCAATAGCTCTGTCCTTATCAGTGTCAAACAGTTCGAATGCCTCTTTTATTTCTTGTTTTTGTTCTTCACCAAGTTCTCTTCTCTTTCTTCTTTTCCCTTTGTCCAGAGAGAACTCCTGCCTGCAAATATAGTGTTACTGATTGAATGCAAGCATGCATGCATGGCTACATACTAGTTCCATTCTCTACTTTAACTAGAAAACACTCCTCCTGAAAACACTCCTTTTACAAGGCCATAGAATAGAAACAAGATTTAGTTTGGTTGCTCAAACTCTTGAAATATAATAATATGATGATGTAAAATAACTTCCTGGTGGTCAAAACCCAGGTGCTTCATTAGCCTAGCAGCAGCATGGATCCGGAGCCAGATCCAGTCTCAATTGGTAGACTCAATGAATAAATGAGATCTCACTCAAAACCAAAAATAGTACATCCAAAAAATGACAACCCAAATATTAGACCCTGGTACTGACCTTTACTTTAACTATCTCTCAAGCATCGAGTGATCAATACTTGCCTTGTAATCTCTTCTTCATATTTCAGTTTGAATGGTTACATGAAATCAATTATTGACGCTATAAATAGTATTTTTCCAGGACAATTATTTCACATTTTCAGAGTAGAAAGATAATGTCTGAATTCAGTAGTTTCCGGCCCATTTCCAGTGATGTCTATAATGATGTTCATCTATCAGCTTACTTCACATCACAACGAACAGCCAATGAAAGCAAATGATCACATATCCTAAACAAACAATGGTTTCTACAGGACAGCCAAGAAACGTCATGGTGTTTCTTAGTAATCCCTGGTATGACGTCATCTGGACTGGCGTTACATTCTCAGAATAGACATATGATCTCTGGAATAGACATCCTGAACTAGGGAAATTGCCAAAACGGGACATTATCTTTCCACTACACTATTTTGTGCTTTTATCAACAGATGCTTACATATATAATATATATATGGTTGAAGCGATTGATGATGCCAACAGTACGTATCATTTGAGGTATGTCTAAGACAAGTTATATTTAGCAGTTATGTCCCTATCATTGAATATATGCCTGAGGTCTGTCACCAATATAGCCCGAGCTTGCGAGGGTTATATTACGACAGACCGAAGGCATATATTCAATGATACGGACATAACTGTTGTATTACATACTTTTATATCATGGCTACGTTATATCAATGACGCCACATGTCTGTGTGCGAGTGAAATTAGGAAGAAATGAAACATGATGTCCCAATGACGTCATAAGATTGTCATGGTAAAAGGTTTGGCGGCTATACAGGAATATATAGCCGACCTTCAGCTCCATTGACTTCAATACAAATGCTTCGCATGGTATGTAATACTCCTCAATAAACTGACTCCAGAATCAAGGAAGTAAAAAATTTCTGATAGGAGGAATCTGGCAGAGGTCCGTGAGCAGCAGGCACAATAGGTGATATTTCTATTTGATTTAAAGAATAGTTTGTTGTAATTGTAATTGTTACATCCATTCATTTTGCTGATAGAAAGTCTCATGAAACCCCTGAACCCTGTCAAGGTATCACAAAATAACAAGGCATCAAACATGCAAAATGTGACCACCTGCCATTTGTTACACATGCTGACGTGGAACCCCAACCAAGGAACACTAACTGCCAAACACCAACCACTGAACAAAGTCCACAAAAAGGATGAGACCACAACAATATCCCCGCTTAAATCAGAACACAGAAACCCCAAAATTGTTCCACAATATTGACACATTAATTTATTGTTCCATGTATCTCGCAAAAGCCATGAAATACAGTGCTCACCATAAATAAATGACACATGGATTTGCTGAATTGAGGATTTCACATGTTAAAGAAGAGAATTTTCAAGGGGACATACATTAGTAGTTGAGAGTGTACAAAATGTAAAATATATAAAAAATTTAAGGCCAAGGTGCATGATCGGAATTTTTCTGCATTCCTCAATTTAGTCACATGTTATTTTTCAAATAGGAATCACTCCTTCCACACAAAAAATGAGAAAAACGAGAAAAATTCAGTAAAAAAATTTTCTGAATTTTTTCTCTGAATTTTCTTGTTTTTATACATTTTATCAAAACATTCTTCTTAACTCTTTTGCGCGGTATTTAATTATTTTTAAAAGCTACTGAGCGGTAATTAATTTACTAAAAATTAGGATTTTCATGCCTGCCAATTTGAAAGTGACATAAAACCTAAACCAATAGAGATAACACCACCAAATTTTTACTCATAATTGGAAACATATGTATAAATCATATTAGGCTAAGCAAATGGGCTCATAAAAGGCCCAAACATCCCAAAAATTGCAACAGTTTTTAAATTAGTCTTGTATTATGTATTGATATCAGTTGAAAAACATATCAAAAATATAGAAAAATGTATGCAGTGGACAAATATGAAATTTCACTTCCTAGGTACCCCCTACAACCCTACCCCAAAATTGAGTATTGGTAGGAAACAATTTTTTCTTCCCAAATGGAATACTTTAGTCAAGTATTCAAGCTTTATTATGATAGATAACATATTCACAAATAAAATAAATAAAATAAAATATTATTTTAATCATTTTTGAGACCAGTAATTGGTCATTTGACCCCAAAGTATAACAAAATAGGCAACAAAACAGGCATGTTATCACATATCTATTTAGATATTTTAGGATCAGTTTGTCAGAAAAACATGAAAAAATCATGGTGTTACATATTTATATGAACTTCATATTTGGAGAGTGTCAGAATTCTAACGTGTATACTTAGGAAGAAAAAAATTATTTCATTTTCATAGTTTTGCCCCACCCACTATAGGGGAGACTTAAAGTTTTGATGACTAACTCCCACAATGCATCACATTTGTGTTAGAGTTGACATCTAAATCATTTATATAGGCTTGTCATCATCTAAAATACAAGTGAAGGTTTATACCTTATTAGTATGAAAAATAGGAATTATTAGTTGCACCAGGTGAAATGTTAAGGTGACCTCACTTTTATTTGATGAATAATTACAAATCACCACTCTGATATTAGTAGGGTATTTGATAACTGCTCTATACTAGGCTTATCTAGTTAATGTAAGTTGTAGTTTCTGTGAAATTTAATATTGTTTAAATTAAAATTATTAATTACAATCCGCAATTACAAAATTTGCATATATTTAAATTCATCAGATAAATAAATCATCACATAAGAGTACATTACTATGGAACTATCAATTGGATGTATAATGCTGTAGAAACGAATTTATGGTTTATTAAACGGAATTTAAATGGTTTATTAAACGGAATTTAAACTGATAGAGCACATTTAAATCTCAGATATCTGGGGAGTCTCATTAATATAATTTCAGTGCGTAGGAATGATGGTAATTCTGTCTGTCAGATTGGAAAACATTGAGTGTACATGTGCTACATTCAGAATCGGATGCAGATATTGTGATTGTGAAAACTGTAATCCAAAGTGTCCAAACCTCAAATACAGTACTCATACAGATCTCCTTGTAAACACAAACTTCAACATTTTCTTCAAACCTGAACCAAAAGCAGTAACCCAAGAAACAAAATGTTGGAATATAAATGAAATAAGATTGTCTTTTGTTTATCTTTTCTGGGGTGTGACACCGCATTCTGATTATACCTGGCATAGACAAGAATTTCTTACTTAAGTTACATAAACGATTTTGGGTTAAAAGTGCAGATCTTAACTGTTTATCGAAATACCGTTTATGTAACTAAAGTGAGGAATTAAATCGACGATTCTGTTGTCTTCTGAACTATTTGTTCACAAATATGTACATTTTTTAAACACATAATACTGATACATGTTTGTGATATCAATGTTGTGGAAATTCTGCCTACAACGTGTGAAATAAGGAAAAAAAGAAAAATCATACCTTCGATGTTCCGACATTTTGTTACAACGTAATTTAGTGGAAAACCAGTGAAATGCAAGCAACTCTGTCATTGCAGAGGAACATGCTCTTTTGTCAATTTATGGTGGAAAATGGTGAAACCCTAAATGAACTTAGACTTCAAAAATTCTATTAAAAGAGAGCAGCAAGATCTGAATTATTGCAGCCTCGTGTTCTTCCTCCAACTTCTGATGCTGCGGAATACCACAGTTACAGAGTGTACCATCAGATCCAGGAGTGGGAGGGAAATAAACTGTCTCCATTATAATTGGGCTGGGAAATAAGCAACGAAGCTTTTGTACCAATTGCCTAAATGCAGCTCCCCTCTCTCAGAGATCATCCATTGTGTGTGTAAGGCAGATTGTACTTCTATGAGATGTACTTGCAGAAAAATGGAATAATTGTTCTATGGCATGTAAGGTATGCAAAGGTATTTGTGCAAATACCTCCATTACTGATTATGAAAATAATGATGACTAAATAATGAACACTAGCGGATCTTCCCCTCCCCCTGGGTTACCCTTTGCATTCGTTTGACTTCACTTCTTAAAAGAGAGCTTCGTCTGTAGTTTAACTAGACTCTGTACGCAGGGTACCCTTGGGTGGGCCCAGAAAAAAAATTGGGCCCGAAAAAAGGCCTTAAGGCCCCAAAAAGTGGGCCTTTTTGGTCATAAGTGGGCCTTTTAAGGCCTTATTTTTTAATTACAGGCCACATTTTGAAGAAAATGGGCCTCAATGTTTCAAAATTAAGGCTTTTAGGGGCCAACATTTTTTTTTCGCGCAAGCCCAGATGTTTTCTTCTCAGACCTGAAATTTGCCCCCCCCCCCCTTGTTGGTTCCCAGATCCGCCCCTGATGAAGTTTGGTGATAGACAAGTTTGTAACTGATTGTTGCCATATATGAAGGTTAAGATTACAAAATTAAGGCAGCTTTTTGACAATGAACATAACGTAATCGAACCATGCCCTGTATAAAGACCAGGGATTTACTTTGTGTTACACTAGTTAACTCAGTAGGATTTATTAACGTAGAAACCTTTTCCTCATTAATTATTGAATTTCATCTTGAAATCCAATTCTTCAGTTGAACTTCTTCATTTCATTTCTCAATATCACTGTGTGGTTAAGAACACCTTAGTCAAAAATAACAATTTTTCCTTAATACAGGGCGAGCCAAAAAGGTAACCCAAACAAATCTTAATAACTCAGTCCAGTCATCCTGCATGAGTTGAGTCTTGGTCAATGTATTATCAATCTACCCAATCTCAGTGGTCTATCTCTAGTGGTCACGATTTTATGGCCATTTTATACCATGCCATGAAATATGGGTGTCATGCCTGGAGGCCAACTTGAACGTATCGTGCGTAGTTGTTCAAATCAAGAGCATAAAAATCTTGTGTTATGGCTCTCATCTTCATTCTTATCTCTTGTTTTAATGTTTCAAGTGTTGCTAGTATAGAAAAAAGGTCAACAGATAAAAAAACTGGACTTGGTATTGATGTCCAGTCAGTCAGGCACATTTCGATATTTTGAGCACATTTTGTAAATGGCCATAAAATCGTGACTATTAAGTATAGATCAATGACACTTAGCAGAATGAAAGAACATTGAACAAGGCAATTGTGCCAAATATTATGTCAGACCCATGCTGAATGACTGGGTTATTAACAAACATTTGGTTGGGTTACCTTTTTTGGCTCATACTGTATTAATAAACTGATGTCAGGGACAGTGATATTTAACATTTTGCATTGTTGCCTTTTCAAGGATATTTTTAGACCACTGATTCTACTTAATTTCTAACAAATCGTTCTCTGTTTTACCAGAAAAGGTATATTATATATCAAATTGAATTTAAAAGGAAAAGAACATTTGATAATTTAGCAGTTATCAACTAAAAGTAGGGCTTCCCCTATATTTCACCTGGCATTTGCTGTTTTTTTTAACTTTTTTACACAATCCTTTCCTGAAAACATCAAAAAACTGATTTCAGGACAAAATAAGCCTTTACAAATAATTTAGTTGTGCTATTGAGTTCAAATATGACATATCTTTGAAGTAATTAATCAAAAGTAAGGTCACCCCAAAAGTGGGTGTGGTAAAATATTGAAATTTCAAATATTATTTTCACCCTCAATATTCACTTAATGACCCTGATACTTATCAAATACAATGGTCAGGTGTAAAATAACCTCCTTGATTTTTTTCATGCAATTCAGATAAATTGATACAGAAATAAATACATTGTTAAATTAAATTCGAGCTATTCGATGGCCTATTTTCAGATAATTGGGGCTAGAAATGCCAATTTTTGCACTCAAATAGTTGGTTAACAATTTTTAGTTGCTCTTATGTCAGTAAACTATCATAATATTACTCGTTTAGTTGACAAGAGCATTCCATTTTGAAATAAAAAAATATTTACAATCCCATACTCAAATTTGGAGGGGGATACCTAGAACGTGACATTTCATATTTGTCCACTGCATATATTTTTCTATATTTTTGATATGTTTTTCAACTGGTATCAATATACAATATAAGCCTAATTTAAAAACTGTTGCAATTTTTGGGATGTTAAACTTCCATTTGCCTAGCCTATATGTTAACGCATGAACTCATCACAATTAGAGGCACTGGTGATAAAAAATCCTAAACATTATGTATTGCAAAAAAACATAAGACCCCTACTAAATATTACCTTGGTGTACCCCAGCAGCTTCCCTTGCCTGTCCCCCAGGCACAGAGTTGTCAGGCCCATCATCGTTCTAAGTTTCATTTTCTGAGGCTTCAAATATTAGGCTTCACTGCCAGAATAATTGAATATAGCAGCGATTTGATCATCATTACTCGTCTAAATCTAGCCCTTTTTAAATACCACAATGTCTGATCACTTCCAGATTTGTATTTGTTACAAAATAAATCAATTAAGTGACCAAAATAATTTTTTTCAGAAACTTTGCTTCGCCAAATTAATTTTAAATCACTTCCTGTCAATGTGAGTACCAAATATTGGCACTGCAATACAAGGGTGACATCTTTTGAAGTCTGCTAAAACTTTCCTATAGCATGTCGACTCCAGGTTGACATACGCCATAAAGCGTAGTGGCGACAAAACTCGCCTGACCGCGCAAAAGAGTTAACATTCTTTTCTAGGTACATTAGTGCACTTGTGCAAAAGTTAGAGATGTAGACTGTGGGAAGGAGTGATTCAAATTTGAAAAATAACATGTGACCCTGTTGAGGGTTGCAGCAAATTCATGTATATTTAGACATTATTGGAAAGTATGAAGTCTCAAATCAGCATGGTCTGGAATTGGTGCACTGTAGGGCAAAGGGGTATAACATCGATGTGTGAGGTAATGTCGCACAAGAAATTGGGTAACTTCGACACTTACTTGTTAGAAGTTAGAATTCCGTTTTTCTGGAAAACCAAAATCTCACGAGATCTCGATCCATGTCAGAAATAAATGGATTCCCTCTAAATCGGAAATTAGAGCAAATAAACAACAAGGTGTCAAAGTTTCCCCGTATTACCCCGCATTGTTATAACCCCTTCGCACTACATGCCGTTTTCATCACAGGCACCAGTATCGCCACCTTTTAGCAGTCGGATTAGAAAGATCTAAAGCTCTGAACAACTAATAAGATCTGCTTTGCTTTGCTTTCAGTGTGGGGATACTGGGGCCTGTGGTTTTCATGTTGAGGAGTGACAAAATTCACCGCTGAGAATGAAGTTAGCTAGAGAATCAGCAATAAACAAATTGTGCTCATACTAACTAGGCCTAATTCATTTTCAAATATATGATAGATCTAGAGTCCATTTCACTGCTTCATTTCGTCAGTAGAACGGCAAAAATAAGAAATTGGGAGACCATTGTGCAATAATATATGGAAAAGTATATTCATAATGTACATGAATGACATTTGTATATTTCTGATTTTTTAGTTTTTTGTGCAATTAGCCTGTGCCGTCTTGTAATTTGAAGAATTTCAGCCATGTTAATCTTATTGAAAATAACATGGCAGAGAAACATCCAAATATGAGAGGCCACACACTTTATTAGAGTCCATTTCACTGCTTCAGTGCGTCAGTAGAACGGCAAAAATAAGAAATTGGGAGACCATTGTGCAATAATATATGGAAAAGTATATTCATAATGTACATGAATGACATTTGTATATTTCAGATTTTTTAGTTTTTTGTGCAATAAGCCTGTGTCGTCTTGTAATTTGAAGAATTTCAGCCATGTTAATCTTATTGAAAATAACATGGCAGAGAAACATCCAAATATAAGAGGCCACACACTTTATAAGCCAAACTGGAAGCAATCCAAGATATACAAATGTCATTCATGTACATTATGAATATACTTTTCCATATATTATTGCACAATGGTCTCCCAATTTCTTATTTTTGCCGTTCTACTGACGCACTGAAGCAGTGAAATGGACTCTAGCCAAACTAGAAGCAATCCAAGATAAACAAATGTCATTCATGTACATTATGAATATACTTTTCCATATATTATTGCACAATGGTCTCCCAATTTCTTATTTTTGCCGTTCTACTGACGAAATGAAGCAGTGAAATGGACTCTAGATATCTAATTGGAATTACTGAGAAAACATTTGCACAACATAAACTGTAAATACCTCAGTATTTGGCTAATATATAATTTGAAGATTCTAAATTAGATTGACAGATATACCTACCTCAGAGAGAGACTCATGTTTGTTTGAATGACTAATGGGAATGCTCAATTGGTTATAATATGCAAAATAACTCAAGAATTTTTATATACAACAAAAGTTTACAAATGGGGCACGTGTGCGGTGATCACCTACTTGACATGTATCAATATAGCATGCCCATGTTACAATCCCATAGATAGGTGAACATATTTCGTCATGATTTCTGTAACATGCAGACAAATGTGGCTTTGGTAGGCTCGCACATGTGTAGAAAGCGCAACCAACATGTAAAATCACGCGTACATACGTAATGTACCCTGATCATGTTTTGGTGTAGCAAGCGTAGTTGGCGTAGGCCTAGGGTGAACCATGACAGTGTGTGAGTATACCTACAGACTCATGTTTCCGTGTAGCAAGCGTAGCTGGCGTAGTAAACATACCATACTGTTTTTCTTCAAATAAATGCCCGTAGCAGACGTAGCAGTACATAAGGGTGACCCTACAGTGTGTATGTATACCTGTAGACTCATGTTTTGGTGTAGCAGGCGTAGTTGGCGAAGTCAACACAGTACATACTATGAAGTGGTCATTTTCAATAAAATATCCGTAGCAGACGTAGCTGTACCCATGGTACACCATGGCAGTGTGTGAACCCTACAGTGTGTGTGTATACCTATAGACTCATGTTTTGGTGTAGCAAGCGTAGTTGGCGTAGTCAACAAAGTACATACTATGATGTGGTTATTTTCAATAAAATACTCGTAGCAGTATACATAGCTGTACCTGAGCAGACGTAGCTGTACCCGGGGTACACTATGGCAGTGTGTGTGTATACCTATAGACTCATGTTTAGGTGTAGCAAGCGTAGTTGGCGTAGTAAACATACTATACTGTTTTTGTTCAATTAAATACCCGTAGCAGACGTAGTTGTACATAGGGTGACCCTACAGTGTATGTATATAGTAATACCTATAGACTCATGTTTTGGTGTAGCAGGCGTAGTTGGCGTAGTCAACACAGTACATACTATGAAGTGGTCATTTTCAATAAAATACTCGTAGCAGACGTAGCTATACCCAGGGTACACCATGGCAGTGTGTGGTATACCTATAGACTCATGTTTGGGTGTAGCAAGCGTAGTTGGCGTATTAAACATACTATACTTTTTTTGTTCAATTAAATACCCGTAGCAGACGTAGTTGTACATAAGGTGACCCTACAGAGTATATGTATACCTATAGACTCATGTTTTGGTGTATCAGGCGTAGTTGGCGTAGTCAACACAGTACATACTATGAAGTGGTCATTTTCAATCAAATACTCGTAGCAGACGTAGCTGTACCCAGGGTACACCATGGCAGTGTGTGTGTATACCTATAGACCAATGTTTTGGTGTAGCAAGCGTAGTTGGCGTAGTCAACATACTATCATGTGGTTATTTGCAATAAAATACCCGTAGCAGACGTAGCTATACCTAGGGTGGACCATGCCAGTGTGTATGTATACCTATAGACCAATGATTTGGTGTAGCAAGCGTAGTTGGCGTAGTCAACATACTATCATGTGGTTATTTGCAATAAAATACCCGTAGCAGACGTAGCTATACCTAGGGTGGACCATGACAGTGTGTATGTATACCTATAGACCAATGTTATGGTGTAGCAAGCGTAGTTGGCGTAGTCAACATACTATCATGTGGTTATTTTCAATAAAATACCCGTAGCAGACGTAGCTATACCTAGGGTGGACCATGAGAGTGTGTATGTATACCTATAGACCAATGTTTTGGTGTAGCAAGCGTAGTTGGCGTAGTCAACATACTATCATGTGGTTATTTTCAATAAAATACCCGTAGCAGACGTAGCTATACCTAGGGTGGACCATGCCAGTGTGTATGTATACCTATAGACCAATGTTTTGGTGTAGCAAGCGTAGTTGGCGTAGCCAGACTAGGTATAACTACGTCTGCTACGGGTATTTTTTGAACATAACCACATCATAGTATGTTGACAACGCCAACTACGCTTGCTACACCAAATCAGTGGTCTATAGGTATACATACACACTGTCATGCTCCACCCTAGGTATAGCTACGTCTACTACGGGTATTTTATTGCAAATAACCACATGATAGTATGTTGACTACGCCAACTACGCTTGCTACACCAAATCAGTGGTCTATAGGTATACATACACACTGTCATGCTCCACCCTAGGTATAGCTACGTCTGCTACGGGTATTTTATTGAAAATAACCACATGATAGTATGTTGACTACGCCAACTACGCTTGCTACACCAAAACATTGGTCTATAGGTATACATACACACTGGCATGGTCCACCCTAGGTATAGCTACGTCTGCTACGGATATTTTATTGCAAATAACCACATAATAGTGTGTTGACTACGCCAACTACGCTTGCTACACCAAAACATTGGTCTATAGGTATACATACACACTCTCATGGTCCACCCTAGGTAAAGCTACGTCTGCTACGGGTATTTTATTGAAAATAACCACATGATAGTATGTTGACTACGCCAACTACGCTTGCTACACCAAAACATTGGTCTCTAGGTATACATACACACTGTCATGGTCCACCCTAGGTATAGCTACGTCTGCTACGGGTATTTTATTGCAAAAAACCACATGATAGTATGTTGACTACGCCAACTACGCTTGCTACACCAAAACAGGGGTCTATAGGTATGCATGCACACTGTAGGGCCCACCCTAGGTATGTCTACGTCTGCTAGTATGTTTACTACGCCAACTACGCTTGCTACATCAAAACATAAGTCTATAGGTATACATACACACTGTAGGGTCCACCCTAGGTACATCTGTACGTCTGCTACGGGTATTTTTATTGAAAATAACCACATCATAGTATGTTTACTACGCCTACTACGCTTGCTACATCAAAACATGAGTCTATAGGTATACATACACACCATAGGATCCACCGTATGTATATCTACGTCTGCTACGGGTATTTTATTGAACTAACTACATGATAGTATGTTGACTACGCCAACTACGGATAATGCACTCGTAAATTACATTTCAAATTTCCCGTGTGGGTGATACGAATGATACACTTGTATTTGCATTTTTAAAATTCCCGTGTAGGTGAGCATGGCACAAGAACCACAAATGGCGGTTAGAGTCAACAAGCAGTTGTGTTTGTCGTAATTAAAAATCAAATCAAAACAGTATTCAATCAATCTACTTCAAAGAGACTTCAGTATCTATATACTATCAAATAAAACCTACAACAAAATTATAATTTATCATGTCTTTGTGAAAATCACAATAAACCTTTTCATTTATTACGACATCCCAACCACGTATTCACTTACGACAGGAAACAAGTGCTTTTTACTTTTTTAGCCCGATGTTACTCAGCGATCTTATTATGCGAATACTCTTGAATATTAGAAGACTAAGTGTACAAGTTTTATTGTTTTAGTAGAAGAAGGTATGTAAGCTATATTTACTTTTACAATCGTTAAAAGTTCAGTGGTTCTTTATGAAAAATGACGGTATCAAGATTTGACAGGACACTTGGATATCTACAGTGCTGATATATAATAATATAGGGTGCGTTTTCAAACTAAACAGAGTGTTCCTACTAAAATGAATTTGCCTACATACCCCTGAAACTCTTATCTGATAGATAGAATGCACAAATAAAACAAAAGTTTTGCTATTATAGGTAAAAAGTTCTCTTGAAATTTCGAAGTGATTTTACCTGTTAATTCTGTCCATGGTCCGCCATTTTTGCGGAAGTTACACTGAAACGCAAACTCCATGAAACGAAACGAAATCACTAGAAAAAAACATGGCACACATTGTGCGCATGTGCAGCAAAGTTTAGACCAATTAGATTATTTGATTATTTTGCGCACGTGAATTATTTGCTTCTGAGCACTTACAAGCTTACCACAATAAACAAACCTGGCAGAGACTACCCTTAGCCTACTTCATTTTGGCGAAATTTCAGCTCAAACTCGTGACAAATGCATTATGCATACGCTGGTGTGAAGCCTTGGAGATACTCATTTTGGTAAATATGATTTATGGGGTATACTTTTCTGCAGTTTGTGGGAGTTTGGGACATTAAATGTTAAAATTCAAGAAAATATGCCAATTAAACGACTGATCAATTAATATATACCAGCACTGTACCACTTCAGATTTGGGAAATAACCTGGCCTATAGCTTAGAATATTGATTATTGTTAGTATAGGCCAAGGGAATAGTAAACTCAATAAAGAAAATATTGAAACAGGTGATGCAATTGGTCACTCCTGACCACAATCTCTCAGTGAGCACTCGTCCAGAAAACGACTGGTCGTGGTTTCGATTGGATTCAAACTTGCATCGTCAAATTAAACCTTGGCACAATGATTCACGAAAATTACTATCAATGTAAAAATTGACAAAAAAATTTCATTCATTTTTTGAAAGGGTCAGTTTGGGAAACTGTCCCATGCTAAGATTTAGTACATTATTTACCTGGTCCCTGCCTGAGGCTGACATATGTTTAGATAGTTGCTGAATGTTGTATGTTTTCCCTCCATGATCTCGATCACCTCTTGGTCAATCTTGTTAAAATCTTGTAAGTGTACCACACTGATTTTCATGGTATAAAACCAATTTGACGAACTATTTATATTTTCAGAGCCTTAGATTTTGATTTATGTATGCAATGCGAGAAACTGCCAATGATTGTTTTATCTTCTTTTAAATGTATCTCAATGAAAGATGTCCTAAAAATATGTAAATGTTCAGCTTCACTGATAAAATGTACAGCACTTGCATATATCCTAAGGTTTCTTTGTTTTTTTCAGTGATCTAATCATACATGTAACTTTACCATTACAATTTATTTTAAAGTTAAAGTTAACTTTCTAAACGTGTGTGCAAAATAAAAGATCTAAACATTAAATACCTGATTGTTGGTAGTATCTGAATCTTAACTCTTGGAGATGCCGTCAGAAGTTTACCCCCACCTGTGCTCGCCATGAATAATAGAATAATGCTCTCCCACTGAGCTATCCCGCTGAGATGATACAGACCTATCGCAACATTGATATTCTATTTATCGGTTCTTGCAATTAGGCTCCTTGATTTTACAACATTTTCTTTTAATTAAAAATACATGTTCAGTTATTTTAGAATATAGTTGATCTCACTGAATGATGTACATGTATGTTAATATCAAATAGTCCAAAAATGCAAATACATTTCATAAAGATATAAAATAAGTTACATTTGGTGGATGCCATTAATTATTTTGCAAGGGATATATCTTGGTACTCGGCAAGAAACTAAGGTGTTCGAATTCTAGATGAGATGTACCCTTCACAGAAAGTTAGATTATCTACACTCTTAAAATAACATAAAATTCTTTCATTTTTTTCACATTCAAACTCAGTCCCGTAGCCAGCTTTTGGTAAGGGTGATGATCTTTTTTTAAATTCCAGGGGGGTTCAGTTTTGACCATTTAGGCCCAGAAGAAGTGAGTAGCTCCCACAATTCTTTCATATTCTATCGTATTCGGGGTTTCCCCATTACATCATCTCCCGCATCATCTCCAATCAAATTGCAGGATGTGATCACGTGAACAATCATGAGCATGTGCTCTCTCAGTGATGCGCAAAGTTAAATTTGGGAATGGCATTAACATCAGTTCAACATCATCATTTCAAACCTACCGTAATACTATTGAAGTTACTTGATCCATACTTGTAGAGAATACTCATAAAAATACAGTGAACATTTGGAGATCCATTTCAACACAAATTGAGGCCTGTTTATAAAATTTGTTTTTGAACGTGCCAATATGATAGGTCATCTTTGGGAAATCTCCCCCTGATTTAGGCCCAAAATGGCCCGAGATTGCTTTAAAAGTGCTCAGAATGATGCACTAAAATCCATGATATTTAAAGAGTTTTTTTGGCTATGAGGACGGGTTTGCTTGCAACCCCCTGAACCCCCTTGGCTATGGGCCTGATACTCCAATAAAGTCCATGAAAGTAACATTTGAGGTCATTAAGATCTTCAAAGCAGTAGAATCATTTGTAGTAGTTAGAGTATTATGGTTCTTTGATTGAGTATCAGGGTATTCCAATACTAATTCGAGATATTGGCAGTTGAAATCCTTAAATCAATATTCTACTTTTGTAATTCAGTAATTAATATCAATCATGGATCATTTATCTAAATTTATTGAAAATTGCATGTCTTCTAAATCAGGTCTCATCATCTATTAGCTGAAGTGAAGATTAATCCACAAAGTAATAAGTATTTAGTGCAAATCTTTACTAAAGACCCTTAAATAGAATCAGATGTCTTATTTAGTGGGCTTCTTATTTACTAAAATAGAAAATATTTTCAGTGCCCTGGATGGTACTTGATTGATAATATCTCCCCTTTAAATGAGGAAATACATGGAAGGGGGTGCAATCAGTTGATAACCTCTCTCTTTTTAAAAGAGGAAATATAAGTAAGTGAACAATCAACTGATAACCTCTCCCTTTACAAGAGGAAATACAAGGATTGGGTACAATCAGTTGATAACCACTCTCTTTAAAAGAGGAAATACAAGGAGGGGGTACAATTGTTTGATAATCTCCCCCCTTTAAAGACAAAATACAAGGAGTAGGATACAATCAATTGTATAGTTTCTAAATAGCTGAATTATGCTGACATAATAGATGTCACCCTTGTTTGTCTTTGATTTTCTTGGGCCACTCCTCCATTCAGTTCAATGCTAGAAACTTGCAATAGTCACTTAATTTCATGATTTGTCAAAAAGTGTTGGTTGAATCTGTCTGAAACTCGAATGGCATACTATCGGATGATACTGTTAATGTACATATTGTGATTAAACATGAAAATGTTGGTTGTCATACGAATAAGCCAAGGTTTTAATGAATCTTAGCATTGCACCAATGGAGATTTGGCCCAATTTTTTTTAAATGTCATGGAAAATGATTTAAATGACATAACTGTGTAAATCAAACTTATCATTGGAGAAAACTTGTCACTGAATTCAAATATGCTATCAAAAATAAAGAAAAGTAAGTCATTACAGGTAAAAAGTGCCTATCTCTAAAAATCTCATGAAAAAACGAGATTTAGCGAGATTTTATAGCTATTTAGAAACTACTAGTGTTGTCGCGATGTGCCATAATCGACCGTACATTGATGCATCGGCAATTTTCAGTAGTAAACATCGATGCACATCGCGATGTACATCGAGAAAAAGTCCGAGAAAAGTGCACTGAAATACCGAACGCTAATGCACTAAAATACCGAACATCCGGTACATCCGGGGACTTCTAGTAAGGGTGAAATGAAAGTAAAGTAATTTTTTTAGATTAATGGTTCATCTCGACTAGCTAAAACAGTTTTAAAGCGAAAGAATATCAGAAAACATTGGATCAGACATCGATGCATCGCCAGAATCAGCTTTGGCGATGTATATCGCGATGTATCGATTAATCGCGACAACACTAGAAACTACTCTATTGATAACTTGTTTCTTTAAAAGAGGAGATACAAGGAGGGGGTACAATTGTTTGATAATCTCCCCCTTTAAAGACAAAATACAAGGAGTAGGGTACAATCAATTGATAACCTGTTTCTTTAAAAGGGGAAATACAAGGAGGGGGTACACTCGGTTGATAAACTCTCCCTTTAAAGGACAAAATATGAGGAGACAATTGTTTGATAACCTCTCTCTTTGAAAGACAAAATACAAGGAGTGGATGTACAATATTAATTGATAACCTCTCCCCTTTGAATTAATGAATGAACTAATACCTCTGATACCTGGAATTTTATGCCAGACTTATAAACTGAAAAAATAATTAGTTTTACAGTATGTTTTTTACTTTGAGATGATTGTAGGAGGTGTGCCTGTGACAACTGTTTTGATTGGTTCTGCCTAAACAATTTATATGAATAAGACTGCAATAAATTTAATATAAAAGTTAATGACCGAGTGAAAAATTGTTTTGTACTTTTATCCAAGGACATATTTTAGATGTTAATACTAACCTTATTTTCAATGCAACCTGATGCTTGATTAAAAAAATGATGGAATACAGGCTGACCTGGGATTCATATTACTTTGATGTATAAACCATACAATGACATCTGCCAAACAGTGTTATGAAGGGTTAAACCCACTCCCTATTTGAAACCCTTTTAAAGAATTCTTAACAAACTAAATTTCTATGAGATACCTATAAAATTTAGACTGCCTATAGATTGGGTGGTCAAGCACTAAAAATGATAACAATATACTCAAGTGTTTTTATACTTTGACTTGGCATTTTTTTTATAAGTGTATCAGATTAAACATGTCATTAACGAAAATGTTGTTTTTATTTCAGACACCTGTCCTTGGGTTCAAGCCAGAGAATGACTTTTATGCAGGCTATTTTTGATTAATTAGAAAATCAACAATTGGAAAACAAAATGGATGAAACAAACAATATACTTGGGTTTGACTTTACCCATTTACGCAATGGTCACAATTGCGAGGATGAAAAACAATCAGTTGATGATATAGGGCCCCTCAGAGAACTCGAAAGAAACCTTGAAATTAAAGGACACAAATATGCCGAAAATGACACAACCATTGACAGGAGTCTCATGCTACAAAGTGCCATTATTAAAGGTGACATAAACCAGTTGAAAATCCTTAACAAACTGAAAATGAATTTTAATCAATGTATCAATGGAAAGCCAGCCTTTCTTCTTGCCATTCAATATCACCAATTCCCAGCTTTATCATATTTGCTGAAAAATGGTATGAATCTCAACTTACCAATGACACCTGTCAATGGAAACATTATTCATTATTGTATTGAGAGAAAATTGTTTATTGAGCTAAACCAACTCATAAAACATATATCTCCTGATGAAATAAGGATGCTAATCAATAAACCAGACAACAACAAAGACACGCCTCTTTTGATGGCTATTAAAACTGATGCAATACCTCCTACAACTTTACAGCTGTTGTTAGACGCTGGAGCTGATATTTGCCATAAGGATGTAAAAGGAAACAACTCATTACACGCTACGATTTTAAAAAGAAACTTACAAGTGCTCAAATTGATTCTCAAACAATCAAAGGTTATTTGTGTCAAGGACGTGTTTGAGCACAAAGGTTGTACTCGAGGGTATGACAGTTTAAATAATGATAACAGGTTTACAGTAGATAAGAATGTCCTTAATTCACATGGTGTAAACAACTTTCAGTACGGGTTACTAGGACCTGGTTGTGCTAACACATGTGACTTGCAGAAGAATCTTTTCACTGGTTGTACCGAGTCAGAAATAGTAATGGAGAGCGACAGTGAAATAACAGAGAAAAAGAAAAGAGAACCGTCTTATATAACAGTGAAAGGACGAGTGATTGAAAGATTTCCCAAAGAGGTCATTAAGGATATTGATATGTATGAGGAAAGTGATATTCAGATGGCCAGTATAGCTTTAAATGAGTTAAACCAACATGGATACGCTCCATTACACTTAGCAGCTCTATCAGGCAACTGTATCATAGCTGAGACTCTAATCCAATATGGGGCGCAGAAAAATCGTAAATCCATTGAGTGTTACACGCCATTGCATTATGCAGTTTCTGAGCGTGACCTTGCTATGGTGATCTTGTTCATAAAACACTATAGTGATCTCAACGCCTGTATTGACGTTAACAAAGTTACACCGTTAATGCTTGCTGTAAGGAAAGATGGCACAGTGAAATTAACAAAGGAGTTAATTAAAGGTGGTGCCCTATTGAATCTCCAGGACAATAATGGCGAAACAGCCCTAGCAACGGGTGTTTATTTCGGGGCTGAGAGACGGTCGTCACTTCTTATACGTGAAGGAGCAGACCCAAATATAGCGGATTTCAGGTACTGATGAAACGACTATTATGTCAATTTACTTGTCATGGGGAGCGTGTGATATTGTGTTCACATGAAAGGGAGAGATAGTCAGTAATATTGTGTTCGCAGGGGATGGACCTGTAGTCAGCAATATTGTGTTTACAGTTGAGGGAGGGGTAGTCAGCAATATTATGTTCAGAGGGGATGGGATCAGTAGTCAGCAATACAGTGTTCGAAATGGATGGTCCGGTAGTGAGCAATATATTGTTTGCATGGGAGGGAGGGGTAGTCACCTACTAGGACTTTTTACACATATGCTGGTATACGCTTATGAAGTGAAATGAGGGTGTGTGTCTAAATACCTACATAGTGTGCCATTATATGATAATGTTGCACTTTGAACTGTGGAACTAATATCTGACCAAGTATTTCAAGGGTACAATCTTGTAGTTGATAACAGTTTACGTAAACTTACAAGTCACCTTGAAATAAGTGATAAGCGAAAGTACATTTAAATGTGAATTTTCCTCAGAAAACTGACAAAAAACAAGATCCTTGTTAACAATTAAGATTATGATATGCAACCATTCTGTCTCACATCTCCCATATATTTTCTTGTTATTTAAAATGATGTCAAGGGGGGAAGGGGGGGGGGTGGGGAGGGGTGATCTTTAGAGAAATTTGTATATGAATAATCTCCCAATTTTTTGATGTAAGTCACTACTTTTGAGCAATGATGGAGTTTTCAATATTTTAATTTATTACCTTTAAAAACATAACATTTATGCTAATGAGTCATTCAATAAAAGTTGAAATAACATGTCATACTTTATTTCACCAAAAACATAGGTAGTGAGTTGAGAATCTGACTAAATACATAGCTAGGCCACTAAAATCCATTTAGTGGAGTCATTGGTGGATCCAGAAGCTAACAAGGGGGACCCACATTTTAAGTCAGAAAAAATTCTGTACTTGATCAGAAAAAACTTTGGGCCCTCAAAACCCAAATTTTGAAAATTTAAGGCTCATTTTTGATAATTTGGCCTAAAATTAAAAAATAAGGCCTAAAAAGGTCAAGTAATCCCCCAAAAAGCTCACTAATTGAGGCCCAAAAAAATCTTTTCCGGGCCTACCCAAGGGGGATCCACCAGTGGGAGTGGAATGGTTATATACCTGTATATTGGCTTTTGTAACTTACATATTCAAATTGAACTGGAATGACATATTTTATCAGTTTCAAATATACTTATCATTAACTTGAACAGGTTAGAACCAGTTTTATTATGAAATATTTGAACTTCAATTACATTGATAGCCCAAAGTGTCTCCCGGTGGTCTCAGAGATAGGAAGTCAAGAAGAATTAAAATTACACTAAACGTGAATTCTTGTGGATTCAAGGTCAAATCACATCCATTTCAAACCTGATTTTTGTTTTTCAACAAAATCTAACACTTAACTATATATTCTTATAACTAGTAAACTAACTTTTACTCATAATACTACAATCCAATCAAACATCTACCTCTTGTTAAAAGTAAATGCATCCGTCAGAAAACTAGGTGGTAAGAACCAGTTCTTTACCTCTCTAGATATTGGCAGCATCTGGTAATATCTGCTATGTTAAATGTCACTCTGTTACAATTTAGGCTGTATTTTACTTCCTCTGTCATTCCCACATCACTCCCCCTTGCACTCTCCCTGCCACTTCCTCTGCCATTCCCGCATCACTCCCCCTGGCACTCTCCCTGCCACTTCCTCTGCCATTCCCACATCACTCCCCCTTGCACTCTCCCTGCCACTTCCTCTGCCATTCCCACATCACTCCCCGTGGCACTCTCCCTGCCACTTCCTCTGCCATTCCCACATCACTCCCCCTGGCACTCTCCCTGCCACTTCCTCTGCCATTCCCACATCACTCCCCCTGGCACTCTCCCTGCCACTTTCTCTGCCATTCCCACATCACTCCCCCTTGCACTCTCCCTGCCACTTCCTCTGCCATTCCCACATCACTCCCCCTTGCACTCTCCCTGCCACTTCCTCTGTCATTCCCACATCACTCCCCCTTGCACTCTCTCTGCCACTTCCTCTGTCATTCCCACATCACTCCCCCTTGCACTCTCCCTGCCACTTCCTCTGTCATTCCCACATCAGTTCCCTAGTACTCTCCCTGCCACTTCCTCTGCCATTCCCGCATCACTCCCCCTGGCACTCTCCCTGCCACTTCCTCTGCCATTCCCACATCACTCCCCCTTGCACTCTCCCTGCCACTTCCTCTGCCATTCCCACATCACTCCCCCTGGCACTCTCCCTGCCACTTCCTCTGCCATTCCCACATCACTCCCCCTGGCACTCTCCCTGCCACTTCCTCTGCCATTCCCACATCACTCCCCCTGGCACTCTCCCTGCCACTTTCTCTGCCATTCCCACATCACTCCCCCTTGCACTCTCCCTGCCACTTCCTCTGTCATTCCCACATCACTCCCCCTTGCACTCTCTCTGCCACTTCCTCTGTCATTCCCACATCACTCCCCCTTGCACTCTCCCTGCCACTTCCTCTGTCATTCCCACATCAGTTCCCTAGTACTCTCCCTGCCACTTCCTCTGTCATTCCCACATCACTCCCCTCCCCTAGCACTCTCCCTCTCTGCCACTTCCTCTGTCATTCCCACTCCACTCCCCTCCCCTCCCCTAGCACTCTCTGCAACTTCCTCTGTCATTCCCACTTCACTCCCCTAGCGCTCATTCTGCCGCTTCCTTTGTCATTCCCACTTCACTCCCCTAGCACTCTCTCTGCCGCTTCCTTTGTCATTCCCACTTCACTCCCCTAGCACTCTCTCTGCCACTTTCTCTGTCATTCCCACTCCACTCCCCTCTCCTAGCACTCTCTGCTACTTCCTCTGTCATTCCCACATCAGTCCCCTCCCCTTGCACTCTCTGCAACTTCCTCTATCATTCCCACATCACTCCCCTCCCCTAGCACTCTCTCTGCCACTTCCTCTGTCATTCCCACATCACCCCCCCCCTGAGCAATCTCCCTGCCACTTCCTCTGTCATTCCCACATCACCTCCCCCCTGAGCAATCTCCCTGCCATTTTCTCTGTCATTCCCACATTACCACCCCACCTTAGCAATAACACTTTCTCTCCCACTCCCCCACCATGCCCCCTTGCCAATCCATTTTTCCAAGTGTAAATACTGAAAATACATGTATTCAGACTTGCAAATTAATTTAAAAGTATGTAGATGTTAACAACGTTCATGTATGCATTTTACAGGCAGCATACAACACCTTTATATTGGGCCATTTTCAACAACCGCAAAAACCTTGTGAAGCTTCTGATGCATGCTGGGGCAACTCTCACGCACAAGCAGTTCCGGAAATTTCCACGGAATTTGAAAATCATGCGGGATACAGAAATGAATAGTTTTCTGCAGCATGAAGTGAAGAATCCGAAACCTCTTGAGAGACTATGTAGCTTAGCAGTACGACGTCACATCAGCTCTATGAGAGGAGGAAAGGGAGTTGTGGACACTATTGAACAGTTAGAGTTACCTAAGCGCCTTGAGGACTCGCTGTTGTTGAATAATATAGCATAGCTACCTCATAATGTAATTTTAGGGGTACTGTTTCGACATAAGAAGGGGGGTGGTTAGAATGCTATTTTGACACGTGATATTGAAGTGTTTTCAGACAATTGACTCACAAATTCAGAAAATTTATTATACTCATGTATTCTAGAGCATATGTTTATATGTACTCCATACCTATTGAGGTTCTTGGTATTCAAACTCTTAAGCTTATATGTTGAATTTTAATATCAATTCATTGATCTGCTCCAGCTGTATATGAGTATGAAAATTTCAAAAACTACTTTTTAAGACAAAGAAAATGCGTACCTTAAGTATGATTTTGAATTTTGGCACTTTATGAGGAATAATGTACCTAGGTCCCAGAACCACAGTATGTGTGGAATACATCTGTTATGTACGGTTGCTTTAGATACAGGGTTTATCCCTCGTGAAATAAGTGTATCTCCCTCGGTCCCTCATATTTCCCCATATATTCCCATATAAACCCTGTATCCAAAACCTCCCAGTACATAACCATAATAACTGATGACTGATAGAAGATCTAAAAATTTACTGAATTTTCTTGAAAAATAATCACAAAGGTGTACATGCTTCATTGTCCTTAGTTAGTTTTAAATTATTGAAGGTGTATCTTGTAATTGTAATTTGTAGTGCTTGAAATTTTTTGGGGAATTTTTTGAAAAGTGAACGGCCCTTGGCAAAAGCAGGCTAAGTGCCTGAGGCATATTTATGCAGATGCTAAAACTCATTTAGTGCATTAAACTTTATACAATAGTCTTATATTGTGCCAATGGGCATGCCCCATCGCCCAATATTTTTTCTCAGGAATGTTAGAGAAAGAATAGAGAGGGGAGAGGCTTCATTCAAAATTATTGTCTTTCGCTTTTAATGTTTAGGTTTTAACAGGGTATAAAGCAGACTGAATTAGTATTAGCAAGAGAGAAAAGTATGCCAGTAATTTATTTTGGTATGTCTGATATATGGAATGGTATGGTATGGATGGAGAGAAGTATTGTTTGTGAAACATGTGTACATGTGATATGTACATATTATTTACTGTACTATATCTAATCATTAATGTTATGTTTAATAGTTCATGGAGAAAACAGACAGTGATTGCAATTTTAGTTAAATGCAGTTTAGAAATATATATACATATGCAATTATTTTTGTCTATATTTTATGTTAATTGATTCAAATTGAATACATTTTATGTTAGTTTATTGTATCAGTAATACCTGTGTAAGTGGAACACCTTTGGTGCTAGAATACCTGTGTAAGTGGTACACCTTTGGTGCTAGAATACCTGTGTAAGTGGAACACCTTTGGTGCTAGAATACCTGTGTAAGTGGAACACCTTTGGTGCTAGAATACCTGTGTAAGTAGAACACCTTTGGTGCTAGAGTATTCATGAAAAAGTGTTCCACTTGGGAGATGTTTCATTAAACTGCGGTTCATTCCATGTTTAGTCAATTGGTCATTGCACTCTGAAGTGTTTCACTTATGGAGGTGTTTCACTTAAAAGGTGTTCTACTTGTACAGGTTGTACTGTAATGCATTTAGTGTTTTGCACTTGTGACCATTTCTGACAAATGAATAAATAATGATATTTAACATTGAATTTGGCAGGTTTGTTTACGATATTCCAATAACTTTGTGCATTCACTGTGAGTCAGCAGATATTCAAAGGCCATTTGATTTCTTTAAGATCATTAAAGTCCCACATGATGAATATGATACTGTTCAAAGTATTTGTTTGTGTGTAATTAAAACTGCACTTACCTCTCAAAAAATAGCTGAATTATATCATATTAGATTTCCCTGATTCTCGTACCATTTCTTGGATTCGGTCTTTTACTGATGAATATACAACATGTACAAACCATGATACTTAGTGAAGTGGTTTTTAAAATTTATATAGAAGTTTTGTGATATTGATTTGAGTGCACAAAAGTATACAATACATTGATTCTAGGGTCAGATGCAAAATACTTAATTTTGATTCATGACCCCAAATGTGTTTGGTCTTTTCATTTAGGCCCTATATATCAACAAATCAAAAACAGATTTTACATTTGGTCCGAAGGTGATTTTCACTTGTGCATGCAACAAGGTGAAAACAGATTTTAACACGTGGTCCAAAGGGGGATTTCCGCTTGCCAAAATTTTTAAGGGGAGGGTATGAGGATGTACATCATTTATCAGCAGGTTCTCCCATATTCTCAAATAGCCTTACATTCTAGGTGTGTATTAAAAATCTGACTAGGTTTGGAAGACAAGAGTTTCAACCAAAATATTCCCAATAAATGCGAGTGATATGTGTTTTTAATTGTTTTCGACATTTTTAGGCAAGAAAAAGCAAATTAATCAGACATTTAATGGGAGGAGGGAGATGGGGTACTAAAATAAAGCCCTCAGTATTTTGATCTTCCAACGAGATATAGATGTCACTCTGGACCAATGATTAATATGGCTTAGACCCCTTGATATTAGGCTCAATCGTGTTAAATAGAATACCCTAGTATGCAGTATTTCACATTTATAAGTGACATCTATAATTCAGTCTATGGCTGTTTGTGATATATCAAATTGATTTGGAACATGAGGTTTACTGTTGGCTGGATGAGATTAAATAACCTCTAAATATGGACAGGACAGATATTGCATATTACAAGATTCAAGAATTGGCTACCATGATTCCCTGCAATAATTTTCAAGCATAACATTAAGATAGAATTACCCTATAAAGCATCTGTACTTTGTGATGATACTCCATGAAGACCTACACTCCAATAAAAAGTTGAACTCTTGATATATCGATAGAATATCACATCCATTGCTGCTTACACAAGATGTTCTTGGTTCCTCCTAAAAATCTTCCTTACCACTAATGATAGTAGACAAATATAAATCTGTAGGCTTGAATAAAAGCCCTGTACATAGCACCTGTGTCAGGGCAAATAGAAGGTGTTTACAGGGTATTGATGCAAGACTAGGAAATCTTGTTGTCCCTGACCTATGGCCTATCAAAGAAAGAACCAAAACAATATGTATACTGATTACAAAGCAACCTTTATTTAATTCATATTTTATATTATAAACAGAAACGTGCATACAAGCTATATTAATATACAAACTTGTGATACATTATTACACAAAACAACATCCTTTACCATGAAGTGTTGGCAAACTGTTAACAAATCTAGATTGAAACCTTTGCGAAATTGTATGTACTGTATACCCTTTCTTGTAAAATATGCAATACAACACTCTCATGCTTAAGTCACAATTGCTCCGATTTTCAATACCCGTGCTAGGCCTATGAGTATTTTGTACGAAATTATATTCAGTTATGAACAAAATGCTCATTGGCTGGGCGCCGGTATTGAAAATTGGGATAAAGGTGACCTACGCATTATTAGTGTACTAAGAGTATAAAAAGAGAAAAATGCTCACTTCACGCACATCCAATGGGAGTGGAGACTGGGGGGTCAAATGACAAAATTACAAGCACATCACTAAATTACAAATTTACGAATGAAAAGGAGTACAGTACATGTTCATTGTTCACTAAGGTCAATACATAAAATAATGTCTGTAATATGTGGGCATTACATGTTCTAAATCATTGCACAATATAATAATGTATATGCGAGGTCAGTATAGGTTTAACTCCTCCCCTTGAATAAAACTCATTCCAGTTCACTTGTTATATAAGATGTTATTAAGTATTAAATGCTTTAACCTCTTGATTGACCTTAAAATCCATATAGTATTCCAAAAAGGCAATGATGTGCAACTTACAATCTATAAGGTTAATGTCTGCCAAGGCTGACAGGCTGATGTTCTACCAACAGTCAGCAGACTGGTACTCCTACCTTAAGGCCATACCATGTATTTTGTATATTATTCTTGAACTGAAGTTAATTTTTTTCACAGAAGTGCATTTTCACATCTCATCTCCTGGACATCACAACTGATTTAATTTCCTATAAAAGCTTATAGTGATTATCATTGTATGCACACCCAAAATGTACTGTTCATCATGCTCTATTAAAACTTGACTTCTAGCCAATACATGACAAATTATCCATTAATTCTACTATAGTATAACAGGTATAAGTTATCCTGACTTTGAAATATGAAAAGCAGAAATGCTTAAATGTATAAAATTGGGAACATGGTACAACAATCATCAATGGCCCAGAACTGATTAGCTTTGATCTGGATAATGTGATTTTTATCTAGATACTAGGGAAATAAATAGGATAACTAGCTAGTGATAACAGGTCCATGATTCAATTTTGACAAAAGGTCAAAAGCTTTATGATGCACCCTGCTTGGAAGCACATGTACAAAGATTTTTTTCAAGGAGGATTTGCTCCCAGAATTCAATTTTCATGTTTTCCAACATTGAAAAAGTCAGAATGTCGTTATTGTCTGACATTAAACATATTAAACAGGTTATAAATTCATAATCAGTAATCTAAAAGATTTGAGCTAATATTTTGATCACGACAAAATCACGGCATTTTGCAAGATTAGATTCATTGTTGGAAAATAGTTGCATCCATGGGAGCCAATCTTCCTTGGATTATTTTGATGTTACACATATTCATTCTCAATGATTTGATGAAATCTTTGAAACAATAATATTTTCTTCAAAATATATTGATGATTCACATCATAATGTGTTGCTATAGTGATTAAAAGAATAAATGCCATTTACCTATTTCTAAATGTCATATCTGTAAATGGAATTTAATAACTAATTATGGAGTAAATAATAAGTGTGATTGCAAGACTAACACAATATGCAGCAAAAATATTGTCTAACGTGATGGAGATACCAATTCTGACTTAAAAATAATATTGGAGATGTTTACTATTTTATAGTTACTTTGATAGTCATAGGGCATTGTGTCGAAATGAAACTGGTATTTTTGAAACCAGTAGACAAATATCATGGTTTTGGCAAATTTTCACCTTACCATGGAGTAAAGCTTCTAAACCATGAGATATTGCACCATATCCAATGGTTAACAGATTTTTGCTACTTGACTCAAAACGAGGCTGATACTGATAGTAACAATGCCAAATTAATTGTTTGGAAAGGTTGATTGGTTTGAATCATTCAAAGCTCCATTTCTCTTAAACTATTGAATAATAAAAAGAACATCAAATGATTTACTCATAGATATGATTTTTATCCACTCAGGGATATTAATATTTGCACTAGTGGTTGTTCGATATCCATTAGTGAATAAAAATCAAATCAATCATAAATCATAAGAAACCCTATATGTGGCTAACCTGCTCAAGTGAAAATACTCTGTACAATGTACGTGTTATACCTGCATACTATAAAATCTGCAGTTATAGAGTAAATATATGGTTATGTTCTCTATAATTCTAGATTCCCCACTAGTAAATTCAATATACTAGTATTCAAACAAATAAACAGGCCCGTGGTTTTAAAAACACTAGGTGTGTCATAAGGAATTTAAATCTACTGGTCAAAATTGGAATTAAGTCGTCAAAAAACAGTACTTTTGCCACACCATATAGTGTATATCCACTATTATGAATATGAATTTGGGAATACAAAAACAAACAAGAATAAAGCCATGTGCACCTGTCATACTTCACGAAAAACTATTTCATCAATTTCACCACCAGAAAACCATTTGTCTTTGTGGCAAAATAGAGAAACAGGACATATCAATCTTTCAAAACTGATTAACAATGTGGTTTAACCCTTTTTATTAGTAAAATCTTGACTAGTAAATTCAACCTCAAACCCAAGGTAAAAAGGGTTAAAAGCCATCTATAGATGCTTTATAATAAATATTTAATTAGGTATCTAGAAGGATAATACCACTTGGTTCATCAAAAACCACTTTTGAAACCACACAATGAAGCCATGAGCAATACCTGTACTCCGCTACATACTGTATAAGTGGTCATTTTACCCAATCATTTAACTTTCCAATTGCCTGATCTTTGCCAGGTTCGGAAAATTAAATATCTGAAATATTATCTTCATAATGTTATCCAATTGGAAGCTTCATGTCATTAGGAAAATTAAAATAAGAAGATGATAAAATTTGACTACTCTGCAAATTGACCACTCGAATTAATACCACTTATACAGTTTTATGGTTTCTTTTAGGTTTAAATTATGATGTACAGACACTCAGTGAAAATGATTTAAATTCCCACGAGGCAATGTTACATCTGGGAAAACATCAATGAACCATGGGTAACTACTTCCATTAACAAAACACATAATACAAGGATAACTAATGAAAATGATAAATAAAAACTCCCCAGTGACATATATAACTACTCTAATCAATAAACAAAGCATTTACACGTAATATGATAATCATACATTTGGTGTCAACATCCAAATCACTCAGAAAGCAAAAATTGTCAATTTCCGAGTTCATAAATCATCTTGCGCTACCCCACTTTTTCATAAAAGTGTTCTTTTTCATACCTCAACCACACCAGAAAATTCTCTCAAATAATCCATACTTAATTGTCTCCATAGTTTTTTCATTGCGTTAATTTCCTATGTCAAAGATGGGTTAAATCTTCATGATTTTTTGGCCAACAACAACTGGGTTGTTCTTTCTGATTTCCTCTTGGGCCAGTTCCTTATAGTTGAACTGGCAGTCGTGTTTGTCGGAATAGCGATGCAAGCTGCAGAAAAGGCCTCCACAACGGCAAGGGAAGCCTGGAAGGAATTCAAATATTTTACTTTACATGTAATAAAAGACATATCATAAGTTGCTTTATTTCGCGCTATTTTGAGTGGGCAAATTTTGAAATTCTGCTGCTGTTTAATTTGGCGGATTGACCCATCAGTAATATATGGATATTGGAGGACTAGCTAGAAAGTCCAGGTTACTTTTGGGTAACACAATGAGGTTTTAGTTTCATATGTGAGCTAAAGTGTAAAAGGAGATACAATCAAAATATTGAAAGAATTATAATGAGAATTAAAGTAACATAGCGATTTATAGAGGATAAAATGGTTAAAAAAAACATTTTCTGGCTATAGACATGATTGCCTGGTCTCACACCTTCTTAAAGTCCCTTTTTTCAAAAAGGTGTAGTGATAACATAAAAATGTAGTTTGGCCATACCCTGATGATACCCTACCCATTTACAAATTCTGAATTGTTTACAGTCTTTTTGCAATGTGTAATATGGCATATATGGGGTTGAAGCCTGATCATACTGGCTATCTGAGCCGATGCAAAACTTAATGAACAAAATCAAATTGAGTGGGACCCATCTTAAATAGGTAGCAAAGCTTAAAGCGAAAGAACACCTGGACTTATCTCAGAATTGAGATGATATACAAATATACAAATACTAAAGAGCATATGGAAATTTTTTTCTCAAAGTAAATTATACAAATACAAGTTTTGCATTGAAGCTACAAATAGATGGTGTTAGAGGCAGATAGTTATTTAGCGTTATTTCTTCCCATTTAACCCACCTGTTAATCCTACTTTCTTCTTGCATGATGTACAGCGATTTTTTATCTTTGTTGGCCTTTTACCATCACGTTCATCAGAACTTGTATCAGGCTCGCTATTTTTTATGGGAGTTTTAACCTCGGCTCCACCTAAAAGAGAAAATATAATCAGTTATTGTAGTCTAAGGTAATTTATGAGGTACTCTTTATGGCCATATGGAAGGTCAGTTTGGTGATCATGTATGCTCATGGGGCCATTTGAATAAATGTATACATATAAAGGATATTGCAACCATAAACAAGGCTTAACACTTGACACAATATTACCATCACATAAGTCTTTGCAAATGATTACAAGAGTGTGTTACAGTTTGTTGTAGATACGGACTGCAATGTAATGAATACTCAACTCAGCAATCAGCATCCATTTTTTTAATTTCATATATACTGTGAACACTGGCGGATATGGGGGGATTTTTTTGACCAAAAAAGGCCTTGGGGCATTACTGGGCCTTTGAAGGCCTTATTTTTAATTTTTTTATTAGACCAGAAATTTGGGCCCCCCTTGTTGGTTCCCATATTCCAGTCCCGGTGAATATATGCTTGGTAAATTGTAAGGTAGGTCTAGTTACTGAGACATTTCCTGTGGCCAATTATGTTAAGTTTAAGAGAGTATAGTGGCAAAGTTCATTCACCGAGGATTAACATTACCTTTCAAATTACCGATAAAGGAATGATCTCATGCATCTGTCGATCTTATCGAGATAATTAAATACTAGTGTATCATCTAATGTAACTGTTTAATATCAACTTATTCCCGCATGATGCAGGTATTCCAAGGCATTATTAGTATCTCACAGATGTGATAATGCATGTATCATAAGTATCTAATGGATGTCTACATAATATGAATATACATGTGCTAATGAAAAATTTATGCATCACGAGTTATGACATACTGCAAATGGAGCCAATTTCTTTATTTATTAGGGCTTATTATTAGACATACATGTCTGTATCAGTTATGAAATGCAAGTTATATTTATTATTTTACAATTTCAGAATATGGTTTAAATCCAGAGAAAATCTGCATTCCTGAGACCGTGCAGCCTGTTTCTCCATGAGAAACATGAACTTCAATTGTCTTTCATAAAAATGGAGTAAGTAAAAGCCAACTGAGACAGAGGAATATTTGCCATCTGTGCTTACCGCTGACACCATGTGGCAAATGTTAGGCATTAATTTTTGTATTTGGTGTGACGGGGAATATACTATATACTGTATAAAACTATTTGCTTTGCCCGCAGTGTATCCATGATGTGTCCCTCCGTCTGCCCCAAAGTAGAGGTGTGCACCGATGGCACATTACTTAATCGATCAACGAAACATATTAATCGATTAATCATCGGTTAATCGACCCCAACATAAACTGATAAAGTATGCATGGATATCTGACTCAAACTTGATTTTTCGGCAACTTTCTTGTAACTTTCTTCGAGAGTTTGTTTGGTAGTTTGAGCTTGGCGTGGCAACCTGACATTCACTGCTCAATCAGTCAGTGATGTCACGTAAGCTTACTCGCGGCGGGATATTGAAGATTAACTTTTTGAGAATCAGTTAATTGAGTAATAAGATCAATCAATCGATGATCGATTAAAAATTCACACCTCTACCCCAAAGTATTCACACAGCGAAGGTGAGCCTCCATGACATAAGTGTGACAGCTCCATTAGGTGCTTAAATCCCAGCAAAACTGAGGCCATGCAAATAGTGATTGTCTTGTTTATCCACATGTGTATTGAATGCTTAATAATACTTACCAGTGGCACCTTCTTCAGAGCTTGAATCTTTATCCTTGGTTGATGCGCTAAGGTTAACACTAGGCACTGTGGGGGTTGCCGTGTCAACACTGGGGGTTGTCGTGGGTACACTAGTAGTTGCCATGGTACTAGCAGCTGATACTATAGCCTTAGCTTGACTCAGTGTTACTGAGGAGCTGGATACTGAAATAATTATTGAAAAATAGTTAGGAATCAAATAAATAATTGAATTCAAAAAGTATCATTCTTAAAAAATACCGTTGGTAAGAATTAAGACATTCATAAAATTGACCCATGGCCACTTGGTATACCACTAACTGAAGGTTTGCACCAACCACTTTTATAGAAGTCATTATCTTACATGGCCACTGAACCTGATAACTTTTGTTTAACCTTTTCCAACTCTCATTTGAATTCGAGGGGTTCAAACTCCCTGGGGGCCAAAATTCCTTTCAAAAGCATTCAGTTTTCACAGTTATGGGCATTTTCAGGTGGTTTTGGGCCAAAATATTGTCACTTGTGAATCTATCCCTGAAATATTTTGAAAAACGATTCCATCTTGACAAAAGCTGTCTATGCAAGAAAACCTACCTGATGAACTAACTCTCTATGCAAGAAAACCTACCTGATGAACTAACTGGGCTGTGGCGGCCACTACTGACTGAGGATGTACTGCTTTGAGTCTGATTCTTGCGCTTCACATGATCTTTGTAGCATTTAGAGCACATGCCTTCAAATTGTTGGTTTCCGAAAAACCCACATCCCATTCGACATAATTGTGAAGCAATATTTTGGTTTTCGTTCTGCTCCATTGTGATTCACTATGTGTCAGTTGCTTTCACTTCTGGAAATACACAAAAAACATTCAAGTTTATAAAACAAAAGTTTCCAGACCCGGGAGGACTATGACTCTTTATTTCACTTGTTTTAACAATAATCAGGAACAATTGCCTGTTTTTCAATATCCTAAAGCAAGAACTAGACTATCTATTTCCAATCAAAATCTATAAACATGTAGTTAGAAAACCAGGATATTATATTTTCTACCGATAATAAAAAACTGATGTTATTTCCACGTTTATATTATTCAGTCTCTTATTTCTACTAATCTCCATAACATTTTGCAATTCTGTTTACAAACCTATCCCACGTTCCTGTTTTTATTATTACGTCAAGGTCACAATGTCCCGAAGCGAGTAAATGACCGAGGTAGATTTCAATAACATCAAAACATTATTTCATGATCAAGATTGTCAATATTATTACCCACACACACACAGAAATGAGACAGGCTACAAGTAAACAGCTGAACTAAGATCTCTTTCTCTTCACTTTTGCTAGTCATGTACTGTATTAATCCAAGACGAGTTAGTTTAACCATCTAGAAATAGCAGACCATTTCAGCTGACTCGGTCATTACCTAAAAATAGCAGGCTGAGAAAAACAGTCAGAAATACATCTCTTCGCCCCCAAAGAAATATCATAAGCCAATGTAAACATATAATGTACATAAAAAGTACATATAAAGTACATGTACACTGTTACAGATATGATATAGCAATCATCTATGAGACTTCTCCAAAGTTTTATTCGAATAAACTATGTGTCATGGCACGCTGTAAGTATTCCTGTGAGTAGACCTTGGTATAGTAGATAGACCTCATTAGAACTTCAAAAAGAAGGACCAATAACTCAGAAGGAACCTGACTTCTTGTGGTTGAGAGTAAAGTGAGTACCCCCCCCTCCTCCAAATATATAATTATTACCACCTTCTACCTTGAATAAAATAAACTGAACGCTAGGGGTAGCTCAACCTTGAGCTTTGAAAAGATAGTCAGCTAATCACAATTCCACATACAACCCAACACAAACTTCAAGTACATGTATATGTAATATTGTTATCATTCAGTAAAGACTAAGTACAATATCATGTGCTAATTTGAATGTCATATGATGGCACATACATAAGTGACAAATGACTGAGGTCCTTTCATAAGCATTAGGTCATGTATACTGCAAATTGTTTCATATGATTAACTCCGATTCATACAATGAAAGTTGCTCTCATATATTATACTGTAGTGAACACCCATGGAGCCACAAAAAAGTGTTCACTGATTATACTAACTGTAGTGAACACCCATGGAGCCACAAAAAAGTGTTCATTGAAGTTCACCATAGGAAGGGAATTTATACAGGAGTAAATGTAAAATGTAAAAAGTGGTGTTCAATAAACACAAGTGTTCACTTTAGATAGGTGTAGGTGTTCATTAAGGTTTTACATATATAGTTCTTTTACTGAATCCCAAACATTATTAGGGTCATTATACAAAATGGCCAACTTCAAAGATTCACCAATATACTAAAGTTAATACCTATATCGGTTAATATATTCACTAAAGACACAAAACAAACTCTTAAAAAAGGTAATAAACAGATACTGTGTACCTACAAATAGTCTTGCATCAACCCCAATATCCACATTATTTTCAAATGCAACTATTTCTGTAATAATGGGAATACATATTGATTGAATGTGGAACAAGAAGCATGATGCAAGACTATCACAACAAACTACATAAGGGGTTTCATAAGCTGCAATATAAGCAGCTGATTTTATGTGATTGTTTACCAAATTTTCCTGTTATTCATTTTACTTGTTTACAGAAATTCTAATGTCCATGGAACTGACTTATAGTTCACATGGCTTGTAACTGATTGCACTGATAAAGGAAGAAAGGAAGAGGAAGTATTTCTTGACATGCTTTTCTGATATGATAGTATAGGTTTGAAGGATGATACTCCACATCCAGGATGCGGATATAAAGTACATGTAGTCTAGCTACCAGCCTTTGTTGTGCATCCCCCTACACACCTCCCCTTTATGAGAAGTCTTCATACCCATGTAGTCAAGTAGTGGGAGGGGGTTACAGGGGCTTGTAGCTAGACTTTAAGTACATGTACAAGGTTCTTAAATCTGGCTTGAATCTGGTTGACCTGGATATGGCTGCAAGTAAAAGTACATGTAGTCTAGCTACCAGCCTTTGTGCATCCCCCAACACACCTTCCCTTTATGAGAAGTCTTCATACCCATGTAGTCAAGTAGTGGGAGGGGGTTACAGGGGCTTGTAGCTAGACTTTGGTACATGTATATAGTCCTCCAGATAACTGCAAAGTTCTGATCAAATCTGATCAGCTCTGGAAAACTCGTTAGTGTTTAAGTTGACAGATTATTTAGATAAGATGTAAGTTATGGGTTTGTCATCTTGGTTTTAGTCTAGAGTGAATTCACTGTCCTCCACTCATAGACAGATTGCAGTCTGATTCAATGTATTTTTAAAGGCAAATATCTGGTGTTCTTTGAAGTATTCAAGACTAAATAAGATGTTACTAGTATACAATACATGTACTATACTACCCAGAGACAGATATAATATTTACTCCAGTTTCAAGTTAAATATTCTAAAATGGAAAATGGAGTACCAAATTTCATTTGGTATAATTATATTTTTTGATAGAGACAATGGCCATTGTTAAAACCAAATAAACATGAGATTATTAATTTATTAGGGTAGTTAATACTTCATGCCTAGTTCACACTTCAAAACTAAGTTGAATCCAGATGTCATCTTGAAAATAGAATGAGCCTAAATAGATTACTGTCTCAAAGGGTATCTAAGTCTAAATGTGTGTTATAAGTAATTCACGACTTTGAAAATATTTTGAATACTTTTGCGCATGGGACTTCATGTTTATCCCTAAAAATGGTTGTGATTTTATTTCATAATGATACAAGATACTTTTATTTTTTAAAGACCAATTAAAGACCAATGACCAATTTCTGCATCTTAAACTTTCATAAAATAAATTCCACAATGATCAAATTATGATACCTTTATTACTTAATGTAAGATGAGGTAATTTGAGTGTGGGGGAGGGTGGGGAAGTATTTTTGCATGAATTTAAAAAATGAACCACCCCCTCCCAGTCACAAAATCCTGGCTATTGTAAGCCAAATAACATGATGAAGGCAAATGAATATCAGTCAGTCAAGCTAGTTATCTATCTAGATCACAATGTGATATTATGCAGATAGAACTTTATTTTATTTTATTGCCTCATATATAGGAATTTGCAGGATATGAAGTTTAAGAATGGAAATGTCTACAGGGGCGTAGCCAGCTTTCAGTCAGTGCAGGGGGGGGGGGGGGTGCGATCGCCAAAAAAATTCTATTTTCAGTCAGGGGATGCGATTGTGGCATAAAAAGCCAATAATTAAGATTTACTGTATCTTGAATTTTTCAAAAATTTATGCAACTTCCTTCATAATAAATTGAGCTAGAAGCTTCAAATAAAAAGCATTCCAAAGCTCTTCTCATGGTTATATTTTATTGGTTATGGGAGGGGGTGCGATCGCCAATTGCACCCCCCCCCCATGGCTATGCCTATGGTCTAATTGAAATGTAAAAACTCTGCATTGAACTACACGTATTAAAAGTTGCTTTCACATTCAAATAGCTGATACAGATATTCTATCTACTAGTATACTCATATGAACAGAGATATAGAATTTCAAACTGAAACATTAAGATAATCTGTTCTGTCATTGACACAATATTTATGGCCAGCTAAATTTCTGAGAATTTAATGTGTTTCAGTCGTTTACTCCTGGACTATATACAAGGTTCTTCAATCTGGCTTGAATCTGGCCGGCTGACCTGGATATGGCTGCAAGTAAGATGCACTAATCATAACAGCTGTTTCCTCTCTTGTTTAGACCTTGTGCTTCAGGGTTACATACTTTTCTGTGTACTATAGGTCCTTTGCATTAGCTATGCAAGCACATAGATACTGACTCCTATGGCCATATTTACCCTTTTATTCTTAAAAGAGAGCTTCAAGTTTCACTCTTTCAGTGTTTACAATAAATCTCTGAACTCAGAGGGTAGTTTTCTGGGCCCAGGCCAAATTCATATTTCACGTTGAACTTAAAACCCTAATGGAAGTTTCTGTCATCTAATCTGTTATCCATACCAGCCATCCCTATATTGCAATCTAACAGATATTTCCACCCTACTGATCATTAGGGTTGAATATAGGCTGACAGTTTTTCAATAAACCATGTAGCATAGAGACCACATAGGGGTGAACATGGATTGATGACAACTGGAAATGGATACCAATACAGGCCTGTAGCCAGGATTTTTAAAAAAATTCCTGGGGGGTTCACTTGTGACAATTTTGGTCCAAAAAATGGCCAAAATCACTTAAGAAGTGCTCAGAATGGTGAAAAACTGCATGATTTTGAAAGATTTTTTGGCCAGATGACCAGGCCAGACTTTGATGAATGTACATATATTCTAATGAGCTATTTGGAGTATTTGCTTGCACTGATTAGGATGATTGATTTTAGTTCAACCTTTAATATCAGTTATTGGTAATGTTTGAAATCAAGAACATATCACAGAATTGAACAATCATCACATACGATATATAAAATCAAATGAATATGTGGCAATTACCGAGGCTATTGAAAAGCCTCCTCCAATAATCGGGAGCGTTTTTCAAGGTCTTCAATGCATACATAAAGAAATAACCAAGGGCAAAAGTATCGAATACTAGCACGTTTTTCTCCAATAATATGACCTTATTTCTACATGATAAGGTAAAGTGTGCAAGTGTGTCGAATCCAGGTAGCTTTATCATGTATAATCTCAACTCCCTCTGAGATTTTATGTTACCATGGATTCATAAATCTTCTTTCTCTGCTTGAGATCTACTCACCTTAACTCCAATCTTATAGAGCTGGTATCAAACCAGTAGCTTACTTGGAACTATCACCTA